CCGCGACTTAAAGTTAAAAGCCGGCTAATTGGAGCCAACTCCAATTGTGGTCTCCACCCTTCCTTCCCGCCCCCTCTCGACTGATTGTTTACTGCGGCCGAGATGAAAACATGTTGTGGTCTGTCCGCGGACGCGGTTATTTCATGTTCCGCCCGAGTGGCTCTAGCTAGTTAACTTCGCCCAATAATAATATCAATTATGCGGCGATTTATAATATATCTACCTTTATGGCTAAGTAATTTTAACGATGGACCTTATCGATATGAAACGCAGAACCAAATGCAAATGTTTCATTTGGAATTCGTTAAAACCAGTGTCAAAAAAGATAATACCGTGCGACACTGGTTGGTGTAGTCGTAGCAGTGTAGCACTTTAGTAGCGTTGTCGTAGCGCAGCGTAGCGGCGTAGATCGCTCGTAGCTATTAGAGCACGTAGCGTCGCCACTTTTAATTTTATCGGGAACGGGGTTAAGAGCCGCAAGTGGGTTAAATAAATTCGCTCCGAGCCGCTGTCGCAGTTTCGACACAACTTCTGTAGACTCTTTTATTTATTTGCCGGATTCCTTTTCATTCACTTTTCATTTTCTATATAATGATAAATCTTTTCACAAAAAGTGCTTTATAAGTTTTATAACATTTATAAACATTGACTGTACTTCATCAAATTAGTCAATTTATTTACCTATAAAGGCCAGCTAACGATTAATGTAAACCTTTAATTTACTACAGTGAAATATATTTTCTTCCACCTTATTGTTTTCACTATCAAATTATATGTAAATAAATATTTAAATAATCATATTATCCTTTTTAAAACAACTCAGAATGCACTTAAAAACGATTAATTATTTAATAGTAGCTAAAGTCCCATTAGTAGGCGAAATCGGATCACTGTTAAGATCAGGTTACACTTAAATGATGCGTTCCAAATGTGAAAAGTTCTGTGAATTAGTTCCGACGGTTGTAAAGCAAGGGGGAAACAGCTCATTTTGTTAATTTTGAGTTAAAATAGATGCAACACTGGAACTTTACTGCTATCTGCGCTACATTAATCTATTTATTTATGATCATATTTTTTTAATGTACTATAACGCCCAGGGGCAGTTACGACTACTGTAAGTAAAACTAGAAGGCAATTTTGTAATTTTGATATTACCAAGTGCACTAAGCCAGGATGGCTCTCATAACCGAGGAGAAAACCTTTGAGCGTCTGTCAATTGTACATTTTACTGCACATCTCTGCTCAAATCAGGTTTGTTGGCAAACGTTGTAACACAACGCTGGATAAGAGCCAATCGTCATTGCACTTGTCTCTTGAGTCACAACTAGACATAAAAATAATCGCTGACAAATTATTTATCATAAAAAGCCATTGAGTAATACAGGCTACAAAAATATTACAGCTAAATGTTACATGTGCCTCAAGTTGGCCGTATTAGATGAATGTTTCTTATAGATTTTTATAATAAAAGAATTCGTAACAGCTTATTCAGTTTTCAGTAGCTAAATTGTAACAAGACGTCCCCGCACATATGTAGGATATTAGAATAACAAACGCACCGCGCCCACAGATATGCAGATATTGAGGATTCCTTTGTGGGAGGCTGTCGTGAGAGCGGCCGAGTGCCGGCTTATGTCGAATAGCACTCGCGTTTGTCGCCACGATCCTACAGGGCCTTTGTCAACTATTCTTGCCTAATATACGTATGTAATATACAAGGAACGTGTAGAGATTTGTCTTGTAAAATGTAAATTATACAACGTTGAATATAGTATTGTAATAATAGTTATTAAATTTAGCTTTTGCACTTTCAGAAAAATTTCGAGTGTATCCTAACTAGGGCGTCCATGCGTCGGGTTGTCTCTCTCCCTAAAATATGGCGAGGGGGGCGATGGCTGGCCATGCGTCATACTCGTGAACGGGTGCTACTTGTGGTGACTGGTCGTACTTGAATTCGTGTATGCGGTGATGTTTATTATTTCGACTATGTGTTTGCGTGTTGTTCCCACGAGAATGTAAGTGCGTGCTCCTGTTTCACCATGCCTCCTGCTGATTGAGGACAACTCTTTGTTTTTAATTTATGTTATTATTATTAATTACTTTAGATGTCATGTGGAACATAGTTTAATTGCGGAGGTTGCAGCTCCTTACAAACGTTGTGTAAAAAAAAAAAACATGGCGATTAAAAAGAGTGGCGGAGAGTTTATTGCCAGTTCTTCTATTCCGTTCTACGCCCTTGATTTGAGAACTGGCACTAAATGTAAAATTAGAAGCATTAATATTATGTATTTCTTTACTGACAAGTCATAAGTGTACAATGTGTTACCCATATGATTAAATGATTTTTGAATCCTTTTTTAACCAAATCAACGGTATTATGTTCTTGTATCAATTGCTAAATAATCAAGTACAGAGCAGTCGCCTCTTACAGGACATAAAAATTGTCGTCCCTTACTCATTCCCAAGGTCTAAAATCAGCAATTTTTCCCAAATTCTTTCTGCAGAAACCAATCAAGGAGTTCAGGCACCTCTCTTTCGAATTGTTCACGATTTTAACACTACCCATCATGAGCTGGATATATGTATATTTGGTAGTAGGCTGATCGGTTTTAAAGAAAGCATTGTTAAGTGCCTATCTCGAACCTAATCCACTGTATTGCTGATATTTTTTTTTACTTAACAAAAATGTCTGGTATTTTTTATTGTATTTTTTGGTAATATTTATGTTTACCTAAATTGTCATACATTTTAGATAAAAGAGTTTCGAGCATATACCGTAGATATATTACTATGTATACTAAGAGTTGACCTACACAACTACTAAGTCATATTGGCGTAGTAGTAAGGTACTAAGGCGATTTTTCTTACAGTGTAACATAGTTCTATACTATGATAAAAAGTATCCAACTCCTACAAACTTTTGACTGAAACGTCAAATGGAAAATAATATAAAAATATGTCGCTATTTCTTGGTTTATTCTACAGATATTGCTATGTCTTGTCTATGAGGCTATCAACGATTCAATTTATAAATAATTAATACTCAGGAATATCTTTAGACTATCGCTCGTTAGTGCTTTCAGTTGTGGTAATGAGTGCGGCCGATTGTTATTCAAAGTGTTCCTTGGAGGCGCCGGATCTTCTCTATGAATGCTTCCAATCAGACCTCTCCCGACTCGTAATTAGAACTCAATAAATTGGTTTCCATAAGCTCAGACTGAACATGAAGCTCTACTACACTTATAGTAATATGAATGTGTTTTCTTAGGACACACACATATTACAATTATAGCTTGGTTGTGTCAGCATCTAGTCATAAACTGTGACTTACTACTTTAGGTCAAATGAGCTATAAAAGCGTTTTAAAAGGAGGTCCCAATCTGTTGAAAAATAATAAATACAAACTAGATATAGGTACAGATTCGTAAAAATAGCGCGCTATGTACATATTATTATAATTTTACAGTGACGGGGTCGCAAGACTGTTTTACTTAACTTTTTGGCTTTTTCGTGGGTCGCAACATAACAAGGATTGAGAAACGATAACTGCCTTGCGAGTCTGTAACTCACTTTTTGAACTCACACAGCGGATAAGGAGGGAGCTTGTAGTTTATTGTTTATCAGAATGCCAAATTGTAAACAGACTGCTTTACGACGGATTGACCGCCGCTGCGAAAACCGCTGTGTGAGTTCGAATAGTGAGTTACAGAATCGCAAGGCTGCTATATACAGCGTATAAATACCTAATATATTTTTAAGTATAGTAATAAAATGGTATTAACCATGACTATTAATACTAAGTTATTGTAGCTTTTGAGAGGATAATTTACGTGGATCTGGCGGAAATGTAAGTTGTTTATTATTTCCATAGCTATCGGAAGGGCTGTAAATCTCTGTGACGAGGTTTTCGGTATCGCTGGCTGTATGTTACTCAGCTGATTAATGGTCCAACCATATGCGTTAATACTGAGGTCAAACCAACACGTTTGTTATTTTGCCCAGATTCAGGGTGTTTTTGATCAAAAGGCCAGTCAAAAGCGCCCAAAACCGAAGAGCTTTTATGCTAAATGTTGTAAGAGCAGACGAAGTGTTTTTAGGCGTTGATTGATTAGTTGTCTATGCCTAAAAACAAAAAACTTCATTTTAAATTTTAAAAAATAGTATTTTTTATATGTGATTTTATACAACCGACTATTAGAAAATAATATTAAATACTCTATCTAGCCTTGGCAGGAAGGTCGTCATAATCCGTAGTCACATATAAGCCGTGTCAACGTACTGACGACTCATCTTTCGAGAATTGAACTGCCAAAGCACGCCGTTTGGCAACAGACCATCCTTTACAACTTACTGCATTTTGCAGTCAATAACCTAAATAAACGCTTCGTTCAATTCAAGTTGCTTATATAAGGAATTTCAAAATAAAATAAAATGTTTAAATAAGACAGAACTTTTTTTTAATTATTTTTATTTATCAGTGATTAATTCTGAAAGGCATCGTAGATTTATCTCTCAACTTAATTTTGTACGGTGTTTTTTCAACCGTTAAAAAGGCTTCATAGCGAAATAAAAAACATGACATTCATAAATTCGATCTATTTAATTGTATCATTGATACACAACTTAAACGAAATGAGGGACGGGATAGATCATCGAAATTATAGAATACTGAACAACTCAAGAACAATAATTTCCGCGCATCGACGCCCGCGGCTTTCTACTTTACATTTACTCTGCACTACTGAAGACATACTTACAATATATTACATTACACGAGTCACAATCAGTGGCTCTATACACTTCACAACTCTCACGGTCACTTCCGCTCTTCGCATACAAAGGTCGATAAAACTGTACACTTTACAGACGGCAGTGAAATTTTCGGTATTTTCGAGCGGCACTGTCATAGAGTGTCCACAGAGGGCAAGGAGGGCGCTCCGCCGGCGTCACACAGTGGTCTCGCGATCCACGTGGATGTACTCGACGGAGCGTTCGCGCCGTCAGGACGCCAGCGAAGACGCACGCGAGCTATCGTACAGCAACTCTTCCGTGAGCCGCCGGCCACGATTCGCCGCCGCCGCGCCTAGCAGCTCTTTGCCCCGACGGGCGCGCCGTCTACGTAGCGCCACGGCCGCCAGCAGAACCAGCACGGCCACCGCCGCCGAAGCCCCCGCAGCTCCCGCGGCAGCCGGGGCACCCAGGGCCGCCAGCAGTCGAGCTCCGGCTCCACACGCGCCTGCCTCGTCGGCGCCGCCGGGGCAGTCCGGCGCGCCGTCGCACCATAGCGCGGAGGGCATGCAGGCGGCGAGTGAGGGACAAGGGCGCGCACACAGAGACGCGTTTCCGCCGGCAGCTCGCCACACCTCCATCCAGGCGAGGGTCGCCGAGCCAGCTTCGCGCGCCGCCCACACCACGAGCAGACTGGCTTCACGCCCCGCGCCCCTTGCCGCCCATTCCGGGCTGTAGACTTGGACGACTGGACCCTCCGCGTCGCCGGGACAGATCGCTTTCACCAACCTACAAGCGTGCCTTGCGTAAGAACTAACAGCGAGTTGTTGCCTAGCAAGGTCGATGTATCGTCGTCTCGCTCACCGTGAACTGTGAGCGTCGTACACGAGGACCCTGTTGACAGTGTGGCAGCCGTTGCCGTCGTTGATCCCCGAGACATTGGGCAGCTCGTAACCCCAAACGCGTAGGTAAACCGACCGATTGCCCCGTGCGATCAGAAGAAATGGCGCCTCGCCACATTCAGACATTCGATTGGAACTACACAAATATTTATTTATATATTATTGACTTTCTCCTTCTTATTTTATTATATTTGGTATTAAGCCGTTTACGTTTATGTATGTTTGTTTACACAATATAATAGGGACGGCACCGCTTTTATATGTAAGTCTATTATTTGTTGTATGTGTTTAATTTTTGGTCCACTAAAAAAAAGGTCGCTGAATGCCTATCGAATTTAATAAGTTCGAAAACGTTTCATTGTTAATGGTAAATAAGAACTGCATTGGAAAAAACTGTCGATCCAGGAAGTAAGTCCTAGATTAGATAAACTACGCTAGAATTTTAACGCTTGTAGGAATCGTAATGAAGGACACTTAACATTCCTTTAAGAGCGGCAAACTGATGTTAAAAAATTTCATTTATTACGGACTCACTGATTTTATTGAAATAAATCTTTTAAAAAGCGTTTAAATCACTTTTTCATCAATTACAAAAATCTGTGATGAACAGAAAATTAGTCTCACTTACTTATAAGGGAAGAAGAGATTCAAATGTCCACCGGGTGGGGCCAAACGTCGGCGTGAGGCACAGGAGGCGGGAGCGGTAGCACGGCGCCAGTCGGCTGCGAAATGCACGTGACGCTGGTCTTCTCCCGCCAACAAGGCTCCCGCCACCAGCTCCAGCTCCAAGGCTGGTCCACCCGACGCTAGACTCACTGGCGTGCTACTGTTGTCGCAAATGCACGCCAAAGGCACCTATAAACACCGTGGTATTAGCAATCGTCCGAGTCAGTAATGACCACTCGTCCGCTCGGTGCTGTCGACTCACCCGATAACCCGGCCAAGGCGTTTCGTAGATTCGAAGATGTGGCAAATACGATGGAACTTCATCGTCACCATCATCGAAATCTGGCAAAAGGTCGACGGGCCGCGAGTCCACATCGGGCGGATCAGACGGTTCCGGCGTGCAGCTCGGGCGCCCCGTGAGAGGATCGAGCCTCGTGGCGCATCGCGGATCGCGGCCGAACGCCGCCGCGAGAACACTCAGCTCGACGCGGCCGCCATCCGCTTGCAATCTATAAACGCAGCGCAGACGGCGCGCTCCACCGCGCCCAAACCACAGTGCGTTGCGCGGTGACGTAAACGACCCGGGTGCGAGCAACCTACGAGCGCACTCGGTCGGTTCGGTGCGAACTCGAGTCTCAGAGATTGGCAGAGGCACCCCCTCCAGACGGGCGTCGATAAACTCGTAATGCAGCGAGAAAGCTAGCGGATGTGTAGCGGTGCCCGGGCGGGTGGTAGCCGCGATGGAGAGCAGGGAAGCGGCAGACACGTAGCCGTCGGGAGGTGCGCACGGGCGAGGCACGCGTGTGGCGTTGGCAAGTGCGGCGCGAGCGCAAAGCGCGGGTGCAACGTCACAGTAGCGGCCGAGTAATGCTCCGCCTCCGCCGTCTGCTCCGCCTCCGTCCCAGATCCGTAACTCCACAGAACAGGCCGCCCTATCTTCCTCCCGATCTGTTGCGCTACTTTCCGTGCGGCGGCTGTCCACCAACGAGTACTGCGTGAAGCTCGAGAAATAGATCCACACGAGATCCCCTGTGCATAAATATTAATAGAAAATAATTACAATACGTATCATAAGAAATAATATTTAATCAAGACTCGAACTTATTCATGAAGATATATTTGCTTGACACATATTTTATTTACAATCATTAACATTTCTATTTATTTATTTACTTATTGCATCCTAAGAAATTATACTAAAGATACAAATACGAAAATAATTTGGTGGGCTAATACTCGTATGATCGCTGTATTAACATAACCTGCTGCTACATCTGAATATGAACTACTTAGCACAGAAGTCGTGCCACAGTCGCACAGTCCCACCTTGGACGATTTCTATACGTGCTATTGGTGCAGCTGATAATTAAAGATTTAATAAGCATTAGGGAAATAAATAACATTATAAAAATATAACTAAAGGGTCAGAACTCAAATTGCAAAAATACATACCGGGGCGGCCGTGAAACGTCCAGGTGCACGTGGTGTTCGGTGGCAAAGTATGAGTCGGTGCGTGTATGAGCCCACGGCGGCCTCGACTAGATGCGGACGAAGAGGTTCCGTTCAATTCCTCGTCGGACGACGAGGCCTTCACGTGAAACTCGCACCTGCGTGCCTCTCTACCAAGCAAAAGATTCGAGTGATTCGAGCGGACGCAGATTAATTAAGAACAGTGTGGAGAGGAAATTTACCTGGCGTAGTCGAGCGAATCTGAATCAGCAAATATTACATGCACATCGAGCTCGAAGCCCCGTAATGGTGCAAGAGGTGGAGCGGCGCGAGGCGGCGCGCTGAAGGGCGAGGAATGAAAAGCTACGAGCATGTCGGGGCCACGAGAAGCTACTCGCGGGAGCAAGTCCCCACCACAGTACTCCAGTAGGACGGGGTCGTCGGTACTGGCGCCGTCGTAGAAGATGAGCCGGTCGCGTTCACCCGTGCAGGCTCGCCACGCCACCACCGCACGACCAGTTTTGTTTAAGCTAAACGTATGGACACATTCGCTTTACTTAATTGATATTTAAGCCTAAGCCTCAAAGCCGTACAAATTAGTCAAAGTGGTTTTAAGCGACGTTTATAAGATTTGATTTAAGGTTTCTGATTATTTCATTAAACTTTTCAAGAACTTTCCTATATATATATAGCTATAGTCTAAACTTTAACATAGATAAATATGTATAATTAAAACAATGTGAGATAGAGAATGACAATGGATAAACACGACTATACGTATTTAGACCCACTGTAAAAAGAATAATATTTCAAACCGTGACCGTGAATGTCACTGACCTCGCCATCGAAATAGATCGCTTGATCTGCATCTTATGCGCGTGGTCTTGCCGGACAGATATCATGGCGTGTTTGCAGGTTGGTACGTCTTTCTGGCGCAGGCTCCAGTAGCAGGTGACGTTGCGTGGGTACATGCCAGGGTAGTTTGGACTCTGCAGGCGGCACGGCTTGCGGCGACATTCCTCATAGGTACGCGTGCAGTATGTCCCCGGAGCCACCGCACCGCGTTCCAAGGGTGCCTCGCCCGCACCGAAACGCACCACGGCATCGCGGCGCGAGAGGAACTTGTAACGCAGCCGCAACGCGAACGGTTCACCCAGCCGAGCCCGAAACAACTTCAGCGACGCCGTCACCGTTGCCGTCTCGCTGTAGTACAGCGCCACACCCTCAGCGGCGCCACACCAAGAGCCACCCGTGAACGGTCGTCCTAGCTCCGACAGCTGCATGTATCCATCGGGACAGCCGTCTAGGGCGCCCGCTTCATAGCGCCCCACTCGGAACTCGTCAAATGCGAGTTGCACGAGATCGCCGTGCGCGCCACCGCCCGCCGTGAAGGTCAGGTGACACAGGAAAGGTGCCCGCGGTGCCCCGCGCAGTGCCACGCCGTACGCTACTCCAACGCGGCCATAGTACGTGCGATTGCACGGCGAGCAGTGCGGTGGCTCATCGCTGCCGTCGGGGCACTGCGCTTCGCCATCGCAGTAGGCATCGAGACGCACGCACGTGCCGCTCCGGCACGCCAGCTCTGCTACACCGCATCCACCGGCGGCACCGCGCGCCGCCAGTGCCACCAGCGCGCCAGCGACCAGCGCCGCTCGCCACATCACGCGCACAACATCGCTCGCGTCAGACTAGCTTTACTACCACTCGTTCTCTCTATCCGATTATGCGATGTCGCGGGCATTATTGTGAGCGATACAAATGCGAAAGGACAGGTGATGATCTATTCGAGATGTAGCCATCGTTTCGTTGCTTGGCGCGTAGATAAACATGTACGTTTGAGGCCGGGTGCCCGGCCGTCGTGACGCCGGCCTTAGCGCGAAGCACACTGCAGCGCGGCGCGGCGCCGGGCGGGATGCGGGGCGAGGGACACGGGTTGGCTGCGCACGCAGGCTGCGAGCGGCGCGGGGCAAATCTTCAGAATTCAGCCTGATGACTAATGAGTGTTGAACAAACGTAACCGGCCACACTTCAATTTTTCTGAAGACAAGGTTTTCATCTTTATTTTTTCTTATTATATTACCTACTTACTTTATGCGATTTCTCACAACTAGAAACAAAAAGATATTAATCTAAAATATTAAAGAAGAATAATAAATTGTTTACTCCTTTAACCAAAGCTAAAGTAAAATAACGTTTTGCACCTTCTTAATATTATGTAAGTAGACACGATTGCGAACACGTAGCGCTTAATTAATTCAATAAAACACGGCAATCTAATAATTAAATAATACTGGCAATAATAAATTTTTACTAAAATAAAGATCTATACAAGAAATTTAACATGTTTTATTTAAATTACTGCTTATTAATTTCTTCGTGACCAAATAAAGTGAAAATCATAGGTATGTCTTGAAATACCTTGAGCACTGGGGATGTGTGTGTGAGACTCCATTATCGCATATGTCTGGTCGGACCAGCGGGTAGACGATCGACCACGTGTTTTCTTGCCATCAATTTACTTACTCTAAAAATTATTGAATAAATTGTTATTGATTCCAGTCTCTTCACCTAAACATCACAATGGAGGAATTGGAATTGGACCCTAAAACGATTGCACATTCATTCTAATTCGATTATTAGATAGATTTCTCGTTGCCATTAATATATTAAATATGTAGAGTTTAGATTTGGTCCGAACGAATGTGCTAGACTTACTACTGCTTTAGTTATTACAGATAGACAGACAAAGCACGATTTAAAAAAATGACATCCAAGTGGTTAAGCGAACGATGGACGTCGAGGTGATACGTATGGTATTTTGTATTTTGCCTTGACATCCGATGATGAAACTCAGCTGCAGGTATTAGACCGAACAACTCCTCTGAACACTCTCCATGGTAAATGCGGTAGAAGATGCAGAGAGACCCCACATCTCTACGCAACGCCAAGGGAACAAGCCGCACGATAAGTGACTGGTCGTGGACGATTCGAACTTCTCTTCGTTGGATACGGTCAAGAGGAAGGAAGGAGAGGAATGTGGGGCCGAATTTGCGCTTTATAGAGTTGCAAGCGGTGGCCTGGAGTGAAGTACCGTCTCGCCTTGCTGAGCACACCAAGCTTTTGGAGGCTAAATTAGCCTTTCCTTCCAGATGACCGCGAAACTGAACGTTATTCGATATGTCAACGCCCAGTATTCCGATGCTAGCTGAGGCTTTAAGGAGAGTGTCTTCAAAGAGGGGAGTAGCGACAAAGGCAGTTTTTTTAGCGGAAAACGCGCATACTTGTGTCTTCTTGGGGTTAAATTGGACTAGATTTAGTCTCCGAGACTCCACGTAGAAGAGTTTCGACTCACTTATGGCAAAGGAAAAAATAATGAGGAAATCCGTATGTCCAACGACAAAAATTACGAAAGAAATCTAAGGCACCACTGGTTTTTCCTTGAACAAAATACAGAGGTAGGTTCCCAGACGCTTTGGTCCCCACAACCTTTTTAAGTCTTCGTCTGATTAAAATGCGATGTCATAGCCGGAAGTTATCCGTTGTTTGAATATATCATGCGCCTGCTAGAAGTTCGCAGTCAAGAGCTAATAATAATAATATGTGGTTCTGCTGCTACACCCGCATTTATTATCGTCAACGCGGTCGTAGTGTGATGGTATGATATAAATTCAATTATAATGTTTCATTGGTTTGCCAGAAGTCACGATCCCATTTTTAAATTTAAATAACGTTTTTGGTATATGGAATCATTCATAAAATATTGACTCTAATTATCATTATGTGTTTATAATTAATTGGTTAAATACCTTTACTATTTTTATATTTGCTAACAATCAACATTAATATTTGCTAACAACAAATAAAATTTTCCTAGACATCATTAAAAGTTAACAGTTTAGTGTAGTGCCGCAAAAAAAGGAAAAAAACTTCTCCGAAACAACAGTAAGTTTCTTACCTTAATATTGTATTTGCTAATTCAAAGATGATTACGTTTTATTTAACAAGAACTCGTACGTCATAAAATAATAATTTCCATCTGAACACAAAATAATCGTCGTACATGCAACATAAAGTACATCGACTAACTTTGAAAAATGCACAAAATTTTATGATGTCGCCGACAGCTCTAGTTCATAGCTTGTCGCGCCGCTTCGTGCTTTGCACTTTACACTTAGGAATGTTAGATCACAAAATCATATGATGCTTCGTATGGTTTTTATATTATTTAATTTAATAACGTGAGTTAGCCCAATTTAATCAAACGTGAACCTATTGAATTTATTACAAATATACAATAATTACCATAGGCTACATGGCTCACATTAGGTAGAGTTAAGATTTATTTAAATATTCACGCTATACTTCTGAACATCTAAATAGTAATCAGTCGTATCCTATTAATCTAAATTCGTTATGATTTGAACTAGGGATGTAAAAAAATAATCGATTTTTTAAAAAGTAAAAATCGATTTTTATACGCGATTTTTATATTTAAAATAATCGATTAATAATCGATTATTTTTATAATTGAAAATCAATTATAGTCCATTTTTTATCTGCCACCTCCCGACATTATGTCTGGTCTTTTATAACCCGGACCTCGAACTATTAGGGATATTCGATATACCTACAACGATGTTTACAATGCGATACATTGAATCCGATTCTTTGAAGATGTATTGTTTTTTTGTAAAACATCAAAAGGATGATAAAACTATAATTTAAAAGTAAAATAAATTTATTCAGCAGCACAAGACTACATACAATTAAAAAGACAACAAAAATACTGCAATGTGCTACTGAAAAGGCACACACTCAGCATTTATCAAATTTCACCTTAAATCTATCAAAACGATATTAAGTTAATTTCGATTTTGATTATTCTTAAACGTTAATTTGAGTTTATAATTTCTATTGTTTATTTTTAATTAAAAAAACCATGAAAAATAAAATATTTAGGGTGTTTATTTTGAAATTAATTCAAAAATTAGGAAAAAATCGATTAATAAAAAAATCGATTTTTATGCAGAATGTCACATCCCTTTGAAAACAAGTGAACAAGTTAGCGATAGTATTTACGTCCCGGTACGTACGTACGTATTCTTTTAATGTGCGGCGGCGTTGCCGTTTTGACCGTCGTCTAGTATGAATTAATTTATAATGGTGTTAAATTTATTGACCCATTTTACCTCAATTTATTTGTATGGAAAAATGGGTTTTTTAATTATTTACACTTTCGTTGTACTTTTAAATTAATATGCATATTGGTACCGATATCTTTTAAATATAAAAAAAATGCCACAACGTATAAAACACGTTGTATAAGAATTTATCTGAAAAGATATAAATATATAAATAAGATATAAATATTTTCTACCTGATGTTTATTATTGTAATGGTAAATATTATGGATAGAAATGAGGTCATAATCTGAATCTTCAGAGTCAAATAAGGAAGAAAACGACGATATAGGGAAATTGAAAGTACTGAATTGGAAATACAATCTAAAAAAAATTCAAATATACTACGAAATATACCTAATTCATCTGTCATACTTTATAGTTTATACGCTACGCAACATCTGTAATATGCTTAGTCTAAGTAAGCACATGACGTCTTTGTCAATCGCATTATATGGTAAATTATCATTTAGCAATATTTAATATTGAATTGTCAATTTTTTTTTAGTTTTAAGATCATTTTAAATTAGACTTTAGTTTAATTAACGTAGTTGTAAGAGATAACGTGTACAATGTCGACTGCTGGGAAAGTAATTAAGTGCAAAGCTGCCGTGGCATGGGAGGCTGGCAAACCATTATCTATTGAAGACATTGAAGTAGACCCGCCCAGAGCCGGCGAAGTCCGCGTTAAAATTCTTGCAACAGGCGTTTGCCACACCGATGCTTACACGCTTTCTGGTAAAGATCCCGAAGGAGTTTTTCCTGTGGTACTCGGACACGAGGGCGGTGGTATTGTCGAGAGTGTTGGGGAAGGCGTGACAACTGTGAAACCTGGTGATCATGTGTTACCTCTATACGTTCCGCAGTGCAAAGAGTGCAAGTTCTGTCTAAATCCCAAGACCAACCTTTGCCAGAAAGTGCGTGTTACCCAGGGTCAAGGTGTAATGCCTGATGGAACTAAAAGATTCCGTTGCAAGGGTCAAGAATTGTTCCATTTTATGGGATGCTCCACCTTCAGTGAATACACAGTTGTTTTGGAAATCTCTCTTTGCAAAATTGCTGACAATGCTCCATTAGATAAAGTATGTTTGCTTGGCTGTGGAGTTACTACGGGATATGGAGCTGCATTGAATACAGCAAAGGTTGAGCCTGGATCCAGCTGTGCAATCTTTGGTCTGGGAGCTGTCGGTTTAGCTGTAGCTCTTGGCTGTAAGGTTGCAGGGGCTAAGAGGATTATTGGTGTGGATATAAACCCAGATAAATTTGAAACTGCTAAGAAATTTGGTGTAAATGAGTTTGTAAACCCCAAAGATTATGAAAGGCCAATCCAGCAAGTTCTTGTTGACTTGACAGATGGAGGATTGGATTATACCTTTGAATGTATTGGTAATGTGAACACAATGCGTGCTGCCCTTGAGGCCTGTCACAAGGGTTGGGGTGAATCTGTTATTATTGGAGTGGCTGGTGCTGGTGAAGAGATTAGTACCCGTCCCTTCCAGCTTGTAACTGGTAGAGTTTGGAGAGGTACTGCCTTTGGTGGGTACAAGAGTCGTGATAATGTTCCTAAACTTGTTGAAGACTACCTCACTAAGAAGCTTCCACTTGATGATTTTGTAACCCATAAAGTGTCACTTAATGAAATAAATGAAGCTTTTCATCTTATGCATGTAGGAAAATCCATTCGTGCTGTCGTTGAGTTCTAATATTATCTATTACTTTATTAACCAGTGCATTTTTAACAGTTTCTAAAACTGTATTTATTCAGAAATATATTGTTTTTTCTATATTATTAAGTATTTTATTTAGAATATTTCCTTATTATTTTAAAATAACTTTTACTGTTACATAAGCAAAGGCCAAAAAGTTCAATTATTTGATAAGTCTTTATCAAGTTATTGTCACAAATAATGATAAAAAATATTTATAACAAATATTTTGATAGCAAATTTACAATTAATTTCTAAATGTTAGTACATTCATACTAATATTGATAAAGTAGGCAAAGTCCAACTTTTGACCTTGACATTTCTCATTTGACAAATTGACTAAAAATAATTGCTGATTTAATTTAATAAATTTTTGAATCTGCTTACACAATTAAACAATTTTTATAAATCTATTTCCAATTTTAAGGATATTGTGTGTAGTAATAAATCATGCATGTGAGACGATTGTAGAAAAAAGGAACAATTTAGAAACAACATAATATATCATTTATTTTGTTATATATACAAAGAAATATTATTTATAATATATTTCAGAATAAACTTTATTTTATATTACATCCTTTATACTTATTTAAATGTTATAGTTCAAATATATACAAAAACGCCAATATTTACAAAAACTATATCAGTGTTTTTTTTTTTGTTAATGTCATAGATTGTGAGCTATTAACAGAATAGCTCACATTACTTAGAATCTAGGCATTACACAGGTTAAAATTTTAGAATTTCATTTTAAAAAGTGTTTACAGTATATGATTCTCAATTTTATTGAACAAATTATATTATTAAAACTTCGACTACCTAGTTGACATTTTTCCTGTTTAATATTCATGAGTCTTCCATCAGCTGTTTATAATATTCAATGTAAATTTCACACTGTTCACCTAAAAGGTAAATTAAATATTAATGTATGTTAACAACTGTTGATCTTTTGTAAAAAAAATAATTCAATATTATTATATACAAAGCTAGTTTATATGTTCATCACATCTTGTATAAGACAGGTGCCTCCACTTTGTCTACCTCCTCCTTTGCCCTAATTATCCTTAAAAGTTGAAGCCATTTTTTTTTTCATGTCAGAAAATGTATTCATATGTCTCTGCTGCTGGGTCGTTAATGCAGGGTCAAATTGTTGCACACAGTTATTTCTTGCTGTTGGTAGGCACAGAATCTCAAAGCTTTACATAATCACACTAAGCAACTGTTTATAAAAGCTTTGTGTAAATATTTAAAAGGTGATATCTTAGTATCTGTATGACCTAATGACCAAGATAATTTTATCGAAAAACATGTTATTTTATGATAGGATTTTCGACACATTAAAATCAGCGAAGAATCACATACAATATACCAAAATATATTTAATAAGTTTTTTTTATATACCTTTGAGAAAATGCGGTGAGCCCCTTTCTCTTTCATTTCTGGCTAGAAGGGCGTGGTAAAGGGCTCGAAATGCGGCTGGGCCATGTACTTTAGCAGCGGACAAGACCTTTCGGGCCGGAAGTGCGCCCCAAACCCCACATTGACGAGCTGCCCCCGCCGCGCTTACTGGTTCGTTCCAGCTCAGCAGAACTTCTACTATCTCCTGACAAACAAATTCGTTATTATTTGGAGGAAAAAAATGCTCCCAAACTTTTGACCTGTATACCTTAAAATTCTTTTTGCTATGTAATTGTTACCTAAAGTTTTTTTGTTAGTTTTCTATAGTATTGATAATTTCACAATGTATAAAGTAAATAATCCAAATGATTTTCTTTTACAAAACAAATTATTCGATTGCCATTATGTCAAATAATATATTCAGTGGTTCATTATTTTATGATAATTATCTTTTAAATCAGAGTTTAGACGAAAACAAATATATCTTGTTATTTGGGTAGAAACTTTAAAGAATAGAACACATTGGAAAAAATAATTCTCCTAAAATTTTAAAATGCTACCTACCTTTTTCTAGTAAAGTTAAGTATTATATTTACATTACTTTATATGAATTCGCTATACCAATTTCGATGTATTTTTTTCTTCTATTTTCGTAATTAGAACAAGAGAGCTGTTTTCATTTATTTATTTTTAATATATCATCAAAGTCTGAGAGTTTAATACCTCATGAGCCTTCAAGCGGCACATCATATCCAAAGCTAACTGAGCAGCGGCAGGGTCAAAATGGCCCAGACTGAGCAACTGACAAGCCAATAGTTGTTCTTCCCCGAGACACCCGCGCCTAACCAGTGACCTTAACCGACCGCTTGCCCCTCGTGTCACCAGGGTCCTGACAGAGATCTCTGCCACTGGCTGCTGAACTGTCATATTGTGGAGGGAGAGTGATGAGAGGTAGGCTGTTACGACCTGGAAGTTATTTTTTAATACTGTTATTGAGGTGATCGGGCTTAGAGTTGTGCCTTAAAAGCCCATTTACATACGAAGTACTAGTAGGTTTTTTATAAAATTTTAAATAAATTTTCATTAAGATTAGATAGATTTTAAATTAACAACGGTGGTGTTAATACCTGAACAAGGTATTTGTCATCAGCATGAGCCTGCAACACATGGCTGCACATGTCAGTCTGCGAGATGAGCACGGGGAATGTGTCGCTGCCCTTTTCCACAACTTGGCCGGCCGTGTTCCGAGCCACTTCTATGTCTGCCCATTTTCTGAAACCAGAAGGATTTTAGACAGTCCTTAAAAAATGGGAAGTTTATTTTAAGAAATTAGTTTTGACGATCGAAGAATTGAAGTCTCAATAGGCTATTTGGCAGTATGAATGGTATGTATTAAATAGTAAAAGAGTTAATTTATTAGAAATAATCGTTAATTTATCGAAAAAAACATAATTAAAAAGATATTCGTCGGTCACGTGACACAAAACGGCCACAATAAGTCTAAGCGAAGATGACGTAGCATCTTTATAAATTATGTTTTTACCTGTCTAAATCTTATAATCTTTTGAAATATAATATGTATTTGTGTTACTTAAGAACGTAAAAATCTTGACGCTTGTTTACATGCAAGCACGTTGGGCTCCATGGCCACAGAATTAAAAATAACAATTTGTTTAGGTTCTACGGAACCTTTGTTTTAAAATCTTTTCAAATAGCCTATGGTGTCAATTAGTATACTTACATATGTTTAAAACATTTAGTCAATAACTTTAACTAACCTGTACACACAATTAATTTCATCAAAGACTCCGCTGAGTTCAACGAGATAAGTCTCAGCGTTTGTGACGAGTTGATTCAGAATTCGATATATCGTATCTTTGCCGCCTCGACGCCGCAGCAGTGTACCTACCACCTTTGGGATCTCATCTTTCGATAGCTAAAAATTAAAAAAAAATAACTTAAATATAAATTTAATAAACAAAATATACCTACAGTCAGAGAAGCTAAGATTCATAAAACCGTTCACAAACAATTTATCTGTCTTAAACCAAAGTTTTCACCATGCCAATTGAGAACACTTTCTGAATTTATAAGTAACTTACACTATGAGCAAGTCCAGAATGTATAAGACTGACATTCCACATGCAGCCAAGTCGCGCGTCGATTATATAGTCCGGCTGAAATACTACCCAGTTGCCTGAATCTAGACTAATGCTTAGGAATATTATGAATAAATAAATACATATTATAGAGGCCATAAAAACTGTTCGTATTCGTCACGTTCGTCACAGATTTATATACCTGCATCATGATCTTTTCTTCTAAAATGGGCAAGTAGGTGTCAATATCATGCCTGACGTAGGCCCTCTGTTTTAGGTAACAAATATAAACCCGAATTTTTTACATTACCCAACTGGAAATGTCAAGACTGAGGGTGAGATCTATAGTGCGCACTTGGACTTTGCTCAGACTTACCTTACGAAAAACTTTGCTTAGTGTACACTAAGGTTAAACTATGATTTCGTATTTATAGACATTTTAACGGTGAGATTAAGCTAGGCCCAAGCTAAGACAGAAAATGTCAAAATACAAATTGATGTTTCATTTCATGCAATACTTTGTTTATTATCCTTTAAAAAAGTAAACAATAACAAATATTTAAACATCTAAAACGGTACACATATATCTTCAATTTATTGTTATTTATGTATTCATTTATTTTATTATTGCAATTACTAGAAATTTACGAGTAACCTTTAGAAAATGTATTAATTATTTAAAGATGACAATAATTTTATTACGTAGAACGGATCGCAATGTTTTGACAACAGCAACAGAGCACTTGTATCAACAATTGAAAATTTTAAACCACTTTTTCTCTTTTCTGTTTCTGTTTGTATGAGCTTATAAATATTAAATTTAACTTTCTTCAAAAAAACGACTGGCTTTGTGACTTGGACCTGGACCAATCTGGATCGTATACCTACTTAACTCCTACGCATTCCCGAAGCACTGTGACGTTTTGTGATTTGGCTTTGTTACATGGACCGCTTGGAAATATCAATATCGAAACTCGAAAGTGACATGATGGAGAGAGAGAGTTCTATCTTCAATAGAAAACATTGAAAGGGTAGGAACTGCAGCCGATATGAATCCACGAATGCCTAAAGTATATGTTCGGAACTAATAAAACCAAAATCCTTCCATCCTGTACGGTGAGAATGAATTCAAAAGAAGGAACCGTATTTTGAAACACACGGTATTAAATGTGATCCTGACGCTGATCATTACAAACTTGCAACCTTATAACAACAGAGGATCGCCAAACCTACCGCAATTGCAAATACTTATTGCATTAAGGCATAAAAATGCAACTGGATATTTTCAGGTAATATTGTGTTCATAAATATGTATGGTTTTTCAATTTGATATATTATACCTCTTCTCAAATGATTTTAAATACATATGTTGAAGACTTTTGTCTTCTGACTTTCAGAAACATAACATATATGTGACTAATAATAATTTATTGACATTACAGATGGTGTGTGGTGATCTGAACAGCATAAGCCAATCTACAGTCTGTTTAATTATAAATAAAGTTTCTGCAGAGTTGAGTAAATTACTTCCTAGATTTGTAAATTTTCTAAGAAATATGAACACAGCCATAACGAAGTTTGAAGAATTAGGAAGATCTAATACTCACCATGGCCTAAACAGTATAATCGGAGCTATTGACTGCACCCATATAAAAATTAATAGACCCAAAGTATCACTCACTCTGAAGCATACAGAAATAAAAAGGGTATTTTTCTATAAATGTGCAAGCAATAATAGGGCCTGATATGGAAATATTTGCTATAGTGACTAGGTGGCCTGGCAGTTCACACGACAGCAGGATATTTAGAAAATGCCTGTTTTAGTAGGTGACAGCGGTTATCCAGCACTTAACTTCATGTTAACAACACTTTTAAATCCAATGACAAGAGCTGCCAATATTTATAATTATTCTCAAATAAGAACTAGGCATATTTTTTAAAGGTTTTTCGGAGTGTGATAAAGGAAATTTCCATGTTTACAGCTAGGACTACAGTCAAAATTGACAAATACTAGTTAAATATAATTATAGCTTGTGTTGTATTGCATAATATAGGTATACAGAGAGGGGATGCCTATGATGATGGTGATCTTGCTGACAGCAGAAGTTGAGTAACACAGAAACAATGAAAGATCTCCTACAGGTCTAGCATTCCGGCAATCTGTGATTGCACAATTTAACTAGGTAATTTGTTTGGTAATAAAGAATATCAAAACAAAACTTGTTTCATTTTAATCATTTATTTTCTGATTCTTTTTTTAAGTGTAATACATATTTCTAATACTAATTTATATTTTTGTTGAAGAAATTCTATTTCCAACAGATTTTTTAATTTCATATGTTCCACTCCTATCTCAAATTTTTTAGAGTAGTCAGGTAATAAATGGTAGAAGATTCAGGGAAACGAAAATAACAGATGTGAAGCGAGAGACATCGGTTAGGTTATAGTTTGATTTCGTTGTCACTATAATATGCCAGGGCTGCCAGGTGACATACAAAATCACACCAGTTATTTTTAAGATTTCTCAAAAATGGGGTTTGAACAATTACATAAATAATATAAATAAACAATAATAAATACCATAATAATGTGTAATTATTTTAATTCATGCATTTCATAGGTATTTATCAAGATCATTTATAATTTCTTTGAATTCAAATTCTATTTTTCCCAAAGTCTATGGAACTCCGATACAAAATGGCAACACCGTTCATTAAAAACCGACAAAAATAAAAAGTCCAGTAAAAGATATGATGGTAAAGCAAATTTTGGGCCATCATTTTTGTTAGGCTTATAGTCAAAGTTTTTGGTAAGTCGTCGATTTCGTGGACTTGAGATTAAGCTAAGCCAACACTAGGGAGAGATTCGCAGTTTGCTCTATAAATACCGACTGTGTCTTAGCTCGATAGTTAAGTCAGAGCAAAGTCTAAGTGCGCACTATAGATCTCACCCTGAGAGGATCTGCGTCAGAGGGTTCATAGGCGAAGTATTGAATAATGAGTTTGAGTTTTTAGTCTATTGAATCTGTAGATAACAAATAGAAGCTATTTGATTAAAAAATTATATTAATTAGGTTTGTGAGTTTGTCATGACCCCGATGACCACCCTGAATCCGCCCATGCCTCATGTTGTCCAAAACTGTATTTAATTTTTCATAATAAAAGGATACACATAGGGCATTCTTGTCCGTCAACTAAAGCGGGTTTCATTGACACTCCTGAGACTATAGGCAGGTGAATTGCTGTATTGTTGTCGCGTTTTGATTCCTCCATTATATCAAATATTTGGGACGTTTGGCTTGACTGAAAATGATTAAATCTTGCTTTGTTTAAAAGAATAAAGTAAATATATATTACTTTAAATATAAAATAAATGCTAATAATTTTTGAGGAATAATTAAGAAAAGAACAATAATTATTGTTTGATGTTTAGTCAAATTAATTATAAGGCATCTTTATTTATGCAATAAATGGAACCGTGCCCTACTTAGGATATCTATTTTATATTTAAATTGTAATGGAAATATTATTCCTTGTTATATGTTTACTGTGTTCCAACAAGCGCAAAAACTACAGTTGTTTTTTCCAATTGCTCAAAATCTAAAGTAATGATTACGGACAACAACCGGAAATTAAAACAACTACGTTCTACAACATTGACCATACCTGATGATGTATAACCAGCAAATTATCAATGACGCTGACCGCAAATCTTCCAACCAATCCAGTTTTGAGAATGTGTTGTATGCCATTGCCACCTGTTATTGGCATAAGACAAACCTGAAAGACATTTTACAAATCTATGTATAATGTAAAATCAAAATAATTATATAGCCATTGCTACCCTTTTCAACTTTCTTGTCAAATAAATTCTGTTCATTGAGGCAAATCTCAAACTAATCTAGGTTTTAAACAATTTTGATATGACTAGACATATTTTGTCAGATTCATAATTGAAGTAAACTGAATATTTCAAGGTTACAATATTTTAGTACTTAACACTTATGAAATCATGGGCACAGTTTTTTACGTTGCTTTATCTAAATTAAATTTATATATATATTTAAATTAACACACCTCAGTAGGTCCAGGCACCGATGTACATGGACTGCCATGTCTGAATATCGCACACCAAGTTGCTTCACATAGTCTTAGTACAAAAACATCTCTCTCCACAACTGGTCGAGTTGTGTCCACTGAAATAAACAATAATTTAACTTAAAGGAAAAGGGCTAATCTCATTTTGCAGAATTTTATTTACTTATGCAGTAATTTTACTTATCATCACACCATTAACAGTACTTACATTCCAGTTTCTGAAGCTTAGTAATATTTGAGCTGCTGAGCGAGAATGGTTGCAGCAATGCTCCATTATTACCAGCCAACACCACAATGTTACTCTGAGCACACCAAGAAAACCAGGCTCCACTAGAAATATACATTGGTACTTAAAAGTAAAATAAGGCTTTATAATATTTATTTAATTATTAGAAAATACTGAAAATGAATTTTTTTACCAACCACCAACTGCAACTATAGGAGGTATATTTCTACTGTGAGTTTTTCTTATGTATAGCATTTACAATTTATATACTTTAAAGTGGTTTGACTATTTTAATGGTTGGATTTTCTTTTGGTAAACTAAATTAAAAATTAAACAACTAATAAATGAAAAATAAAATAAGTAATATAATATACCTGAATGAAGTGCTCTTCAATGTCTTCAATTGTTTTTTTTCAGGAAACACTTGCAGCAATTCAATTCCGTGATCAGTAATAAATGCTATCTCATTTACTTTAGGCCATACAAACCCCAAAATCTTTGCATTTTTCCATTTACATGTGTGGCTGTACTCTACATTTGTTGGAACAAGGTCCTTAAAGTTGGCAAATTCTACTGAGGGTGTTTGTGTATCAACATTTCTTTGTATTGCTAATACTTTGTGATCTGGCGAGAATTTTATAGAAATGATTGGCCCTTTATCTTCCATTCTGAATGAAGTACTTTTGGAGTCATCTAAACCATTCACAGTAACTCCAGTTACACCTCCTGATCTTACAGTGAATACCTGTATATATATACCAATTCATAGTAAGAGAGTTAAGTGTTTTGACGAAAGGTTTATTTAATTTATTACTTGCCTGCCCATTGGTGTCGTCAAAAAATACATTCGTTACTGGACTGTTTGGGTCGAATCTTTTAGGTTGTTCCGAAAGCGATAAGTAATATTGATCACTATCGTGAAGACAAAACTCCGCCATGGTTTAATACCTAATGCCCCGATTTGTATTGAAATTTTTAACTTTACACGAAAACTAATAAACACTTTTTTTGTTGTAACTAGACCTCTAGGCTTTAAAGTTTAAGCCAAATTTGTTTTGTTTATACATATTCAATTATTCAAGTTTTTAAGTCAAGAATTGTCAATTGTCAATTTCAATTTAATGTCTATCTTACATTAATCTAGATAGAAATTAGAATCTAGATATTGGTTACTATGGCAACAACTTTGTCAATATTGGCGGCAGTCGGGATAAAAGTCAATAAACAGAAGATATTCCTAACTTTCTAAACTATTTTATAAAAAATGAGTGACAAAATTGAATTACATTCATATTGCATACGCGGAAATAAAAGTGACTCTGAAGAATATCATGAAATTAACGAGAGTGCAGTTTATTCCGAAAATCTTATGCAAACAGTCCCACAAAGTCCAAAAACACAAACATTTTTTTTTACAAAGCAAATAAAGAAAAATAAAAGGAAGAGAGTGAACAAAGAGAGAACAGATCATTCGAGCAACATACTGAAAATCTTAACTAAAAAAATAGATAGCGAATCCTCGCCAATAGTTAAGAACGTTATTAATGTAATAAAACCAAACAGTGAACCAAGTTATTTACAAAGTGAATGTAGACTAGATAAAATATTACAATTTAAACCACACATCTTTGACGTAGAGTACGGGTAAGCATAAAGCGGGCCATAGACGGACCGCATGTTGCAGTCAAGACCGACTGCAATATGCGGTTTGCTCAGGAACTGCTCGAGCGGTCCGTGTATTGCGAATATGAATTTAGTATGGAAACTGCAGATCGCCGCGCGGCGACCGCATATTGCAGTCGGTCTTGACTGCAACATGCGGTCCGTCTATGGCCCGCTTAAATGTAATTTTTTTTTCGATTAATATAATATACATATTAAATTATTTAATTTGGGGAAGAGCGGAGCAAAAGTGGGAGTTGTCAACGAGTTAGAAGTTCAATTAAAAGTAGGTTTATAAATGATTTGTAAAGCTTGCGTATAGCTAGAAGTATTGCAACATCAAAGCGGCCATTGCGTTGTATAATGCATTTGTTAGAAGCCATTTAGAATAGGTATAATTCAATGATTTGGGTCCCGCAACAGAAAAAAACGCTCTAACGGTGGAAATAAATAAAAAAATTGACACGAGGCTTTGTTTGTTCATACCTAACTTTGTTTCTTTTGGGTAGTGTAGGATATAATCAGCTGAAGGAAAAGGTTGGTTATAAGTTACAGAAACTATTGTTTTTTTGTCTATGTATGTTATCTATTGAAATCTTATTAGTTACTAGAAGATAAGAAAATATATACATTATTTCTACGTTTCAGCGATCGCCAGAGAAGCCTTAAACTGCATCCAAATTTTCCAAATGACGAAAAAACCTCAGAGACGAGGGACACTTATATATATACCAATTATGTTGAGCCCCGCTTTTTTAAAGATTTTGTTTCTGGGAGGTCAATAACTAATTTAAATGTAACGCAAAAGTTTTTGGATATTTCAATCAATGGACTTAATTTTACATATCATCATAGTTATTCATTAGAGAAAATACTATCTATAAAATTAGAAGAGTACTATATGGACTATCTTGAGATTGAAAAACATATAATACATATATTAAGAGGGATAGATGTAAATAGGCAGACACGAGAAAATCTTAAAGCGAAGTTCACTGCAATTAGTACTAAGAAAAATGATAGTATACGGTTTGATGCAACTATTCTAAAATATACAGCAGCTTTTCTAGATTTTAAAGAAAAATATTATTATAAATTGAACGAAAAGAGAAAGTTGCTTTCTATTATTTTATCATTGTGGTCAGATATAAAAAGTATAAGGCATAAGTTGGGCGTCATTAACACTCCTATTGTATTAGAAGTAGAAAAACTTTACGTAAGCGTAGACACTCTCGCCGAACACTGGAAGGAAGTATTTCAGAAGGAATATACAGATTTTCTTATTGAATTAGAATATGATTATGTAAACAAATATTTAGAGTACAAAAAATTTAAAAGTGATGAGAATTATGCCAAAAACAAACTTGTTAAACCAAAACTTCATATTGATCCAGAGCGAATAAAACATGATGTCGAAAAACGTGTCGGTTTCTTAGTAAGCCCCGAAGATGTATCTGTTAGACTAAAATTTGATGAAACAATACAAAAATTAAAGCTAAAAACAGAAATTCAGAGCGAAGAAAAATATATTTACTTGAAAGTATTCATTGATGATGTGTTTGTATGTGAATCTGAACGTTTGGAAGTGAAAGATATTTCCGCAATCAATTATAATGATTCTTTTACATTGCAAATATTAGACAATAATAAAACACTCACTTTTATCCTATGTGAAGGGAGTAAAGATATTTCAGCTCTTACAATGGAGTTGGACGAAATTCGCAGAAAATATTTGAATTCAGTACTTATCAATAAACACTTTGTGTGTTACAACAAAATTAAGCCCACGTCATTATTCATCGGTAATGGATATACGATAAAAGACATTGCAGCCATTAATGATGTGATGCTAAAGAGTAACAATTTATTTCAAGGGAAATTATTAACATCATGTGAAATCAAACTAAGTTTTTCCTGGAATGACACCTTCAATGCAAATGAAAATCCAAATATTTCATTAAAATATTGTTTAGATGTCAAAAAACAGATTCAAAGAATTCTTCATGGCCTAGATAAACCAAATTTAAACACCTTATTAGATATTTTAAATTATGTTTATGAATTTGAAATCAATGACGAAAATATTATTAAGAGTTTAAAAGATATGTGTAAATATAAAACCAAACAAAACAAGTTTGATTTTATTAATAACGAAAATTGCACTCGTTTTAAGTTATTGAAATTAAGAAATCATGGACGTTTAGTTAATGTTATCGATAAAATTATTCCCTTATTTGATTCTCAAATAACGACAGAACAATTAAGCACAATGGAAAGTGAAGATAAAGAATTCAACGTTGAATATTTTGAAAGTCAACGTGCTAATATGGATCCAATAGATTTAGAAAGATACGTGGGCATGAAGTTCATAGAAAAAATAAATAAACAAATCTTGACAGATTTGAACGATTGGCTTCTGAGGAAGACTCATAAAGACGTTGTCAATGATTATCAAGATCTTAGTTTGAGGTGATAAGAATAATAAAGTGTATATTTAAAGTATTTTATATAGTATTTTATTCTAACATAAATATGATAAGTATGTAATTTTTTAGGAGTATATTTTCAATTAAATCAAATACGTCGTTGGCGACATCATCTGTAGCTAAACAATCACTTGAATCAGAACTAGCTAAGGAGCAAGAAATTTACATAACAGTTTTGCGGGCTTTTAATTTATTAGATCGTTCCGACGCGGAACAAGAATTCGACGAGAGCATAGCTGGTAAATTATATAAGTACTTTGGAATTGTCATTTAAATTATGTATTTGAAAGACTCCTCTGATATTCCCATTCCTGAACTATTCCATTTTTTCAGTTAATACTTAATATATTCCGTTATAATTGCAGGTTACAAAGTCCGCCCCCTAAGACCGTTTGTGAGATTAAATTATAACAATGAATCAGTGCAAACATGCACAGCAGTTGGAAATAATCCCACTTGGAATTATACTGCAAAAATTAAAACTAAGTAAGACGCGTTGGATAAGCTATCTCGCTCGTTCATATTGTTATTATCCTAAAAATATTGAAATTTGTGTTTTTATTTTTCCAGGCTCGAGCCACTCTCCTCGATATACATAAACGTATACGATGAACATACGGTTAATATTAGCCAAGAGCTAGATCAATCATTTCGTTTCAGGCGTTACAATAAATGGCTGGGCACCCTTGCCATCCCGATAAACACAGTTTTAAATTTAGGTTCGGTAAGTTGAAATTATAATATTAAAAGCTCCTATAAAAGATATGAATATAAAATAATCAAAAAATTTTCAGCTCCGTGGAACATTCAAAATTACAACACCACCCATTATTTTTGGCTACGAAAGCGCTCCAAAGGCATCCACATCAGTAATACCAGAAATAATTCGACTTATGAAGAAAGACACTGCTTTCCTCACTCTTCGGATTACAACAAGTCTTTGCAATTTGGGCGGGCTTCGATTTTATAACCAGCCTTGCGATAACGATGGCCACATTTTGCGGCATTTAAATAATTTCGTAACAGAATATCTCAATGAATTTCCAGCAAGAAACCTGTCTCTCACTTTTATAGACAGTACTGGGAGACATAAATGTGTAACTGAGTTCCTTCAGCCTCTGCCCCTTCCAGAGATTAATTTAAGCGATACAAAATCAATGGTACCTTCTTCGAGGAGTTCTCCGAAGACTAATATAAATGCTTTCGAACTAACCGATATCTCGCAAATGGTGAATTTTGCTATTCGCTACGTATCGTTAATACCTACCTATGAAGTTATTCAAACTCATGTTGTTACTCTACGTGGGATCGTAAGTTAACAATCTGTACCGAAGGACCAATTTTTACATCAAAGTTACTAAGATGCTTCTTTTTTACAGGAACTATTGAAGGTTCTTTATGGATCGCCGCTAGACCACACCTTACTTTTAGCGAGCTACTTAATTGCGTTAGGCATCAAATGCTATGTGGCCATAGGTTACGGACTGCCTAGAGGTCTCAGTAGTTATGTTTTGGTTAAAAATAATGGTCGTAGGATTGTAATGGCCTCCGATATAGAAAAAACAGGGTTATTTAATAAAGAAGAATATGATGTATCCGTTTTCGACGCAGTTAATGGTGAAAACCACGATATAAGGGATATCGGTTGTCCTCTGAAGACCGTTAACTTTGTATTTGATCATGAAAATGTAAGGTTTTCATTAATATACAATAAATATCATAAGTTTTGTAAAGCTTTCATTGAATTGTTTATTTTTAGATTTGGGTGAATATACAATCATATCAAGATTGTGAGAATTTATCGTTCGATTTTACGAAAACTTCTAACTGGCAAACGGTATGTTGCTAGTTTTCAAAATTAACTGAACTTGAACATTTAAGAAGTTTTATAATTATATGAATGTATATTTTAGGTTTTTGATAAAACTATATTTGTATTAAAACAAACGGCTCTCACGTCTTACGCGTACAATCCACCGTCTGATGTAGCCGACTTGAGAAATAATTTGGAAACTAAAATTAAAGAAAAAATACAGAAATGGAGATGGAATATCAAAACTGTGTGGAACAGGTATTTTATGATAGGAAAAACATTTATGGCATGTTTAACTTATAGAATTACTTTAGAATTAATAACGTTTTTTAGGTATTTAAGCAACATTCTGCGAGAATCTTTAACACAGTGGGAATATTGGAGTTTCAATACAAATGCCGTAAAACCTGCATCCAGTGAAACTATGAGGCAATTAATGGCTTCGTATAAGGTAATAAACTTTAGCCTTAAAGGTACTGCTAAGCGGTCGATGTTAATTTAGGTAACTGTCGTGAAGTCTACTGCGTTGGATGTCGCAAACCGGGTGCCAAGTACCCGGACTGGGTACTTGGCACCAATATCATAGACAATAGAGTAAGCGACTTACAAAAAAAACATGTCAAGGCGTAGCATTGATCATTACTATGGATGTACTCGTATTTCTTACTACCCTACTTCATCAAATGTACGATGAATGGGTATGTCGATTGTCGTTATATCTTTCAAGGAATATTTGCATGACACGTTTTCAAGTTCGCTAAGGCGATCCTGATACAAGGCGTTAACTTATTTAATAATTACCTCATTCACAGATTTTTGGATTCCCGATAAATATACCCTACGTCAACACAAAATCGGTGACATCAAGGGTTAAATCTACAATGTTACACGTGAACGACGACCCTAACGCTGAATTCGGGTTGGCCGTAGAAGTGTACGCCTATCCTAATAATGTTTTAAGTGTGTGGATATTTCTTGCCAGCATGTCTAGAATGTAACATTTTATTTTTATATTTTGTTCCGTGTTTATTGGTTTTATTAACATTATTAATATGTAACCCAACTTTGACTCAAAGTAGATTTTGTATTGACAAAACTTAATATTTTGACGAAGGGAGTAAGTAACAAAAACGCTTATCAGAAGAGCAATATAAAATTTATTATTAAACTCATCGGGAATCTTAAATGAATTCATTTAAATAATATAGAGATTGTATGTCTTTTGTTTAATGCTAACAAAATAAAATTAATATTTCATTGCTGTATAAAAAATACGTAAGTAGAAAAAAAGATGTTATAATACGTGTCCACAGAGTACGATTCGCTTTGAAACCGACCACAGACGTCTACATGCTTACAGGTAGACAATACAGTACCGCCTTACTCTACGCCCGACTTATTAAAATATTACACACGAAAAAGAATGTGTATTTAATTATTAATTCGTTGAAACTATAAAGTACAACATTTTCTGCAACGGCATTCGAATAATAATTCAAAACACATTCATGAATATTTTATTAAAACACCAGAATATTTTATTTACAAAAATAAATTTTCTATATCCAGATAGGTACAAATAGCAACTAATTATCTAGCGCTTATATTCAAATCAAAAATATCCTTAAATTCCACCAGACATGTCCAATTTCTCATTAATATTAAAATGTTTAAGACGAATAGTATTTCGAAATGAAACTGCAACATGCGAGCGAATGCCATAATTCATGTTTCAAATTGGAAGTTTTATTTAAAATAAATACAACTCCGAATATAGTTAAAAATTAAAATGCTAGGTCTATTTTAACTAGTAAAATTTTATACACTAATCCTCAGTTCAAGTCAAGAAATCATCCTTTGATTCTGCTTTAGAAAGTTTTAAAATGATAGACCTAAGTTATTGAAAATGTTTAAACGACGCGATTAAGGTGTATTCCACTGTTAATGTTATGTTCTAACTGGCTTCGAGACGAGGACTTTTTCACTACAATTGAAATGACATAACGTCTGTCACGTGACAATATTTTTACAAGACAATGTCAGAAGCAACTGTCACAAACCCTGCATAGATCTGACGATCGCGCAGAATACAACTCTTAAACGTCTCAACGTGGCTCAGTTCAATGTATCGTTACTTAGATTTGTGACAGTTACTGACAGATTAGTAATTTGCACATTTTTCGCTTATTTCTCATTGAAAGTCAAACATCGCGGGTTTTCACAAAATTTACAATCATGTCACACAATTCAGAGGTTAAAACCACAATACCCATAGGAACAGCTGAAAAACATTACAAATTGACACATTCCTCAAGCGTTGAGAACTTTTTATTAGTTAAAAAAATTTCTTAATTACGACGCAATTTCTATGCACATCGCGGGACTCGCCCAATGGAACATGAATAATCTCAATAATAACTAATGTTTGACAAGTCTAATAACGGGTTAAAATAAGACGGCACTGCATTTGAGAGGCAGCGCTGAGTTCGAAACTAGGGGGCAATTGTTAGGAATCGTTAGTGCAAATGTTTCGTATGATTTTCACATGGTCTTGGAGTGTACCGTGACAAATTGTTAATATATTAATTGCAGGAGTAATACAGCTGAGTAACGGTTTATGGTTTCTGAAAAAGGACTAGTAAAGCCGACTTAAGTTGGATCATAATGGCTTTCAGAATATTACACAGCAACAAACAATAAAATGGTTTTACTTTGATAAAATGATTTTGCAAAATTTGCAAAATATGACTCGGTACATCCCCAACAAAGTCTTAGCCCTAGTATGCATTGATATCGATTAAAAAAACTCATTAAAATGACTCACATAAGATAAATTAGACTATTAACTTAAAGCAATTATTTTTCACTTTTAAACAAAACATAAAATCAATTTGATAGACGGTGCTTTACCAAATAAAGCACTTACATTGTTTCACTTCCATATGACAAAAAGTGAATGAAGATTTTACTAGTAAAAGCCAAGAATAATTTAAGGTTTTTCATTAACTCAGTAGTTTATTCGATATCATGTCACACTGCGCTTTATGAATTAAGACTTTAAATTGACTTCTATAGTTAGGCTCACAAAACACTTTTAAGCCTCCTGAACTCACTCGAATGCTGACATAAGCTATTTCAATAATATATAGCTACGGAAAAGCTAGAGTACCTTAGATTGTAATTGTTGTACAAAATCTCAGAATGCATATCTATTTATTCATAAATCTCAAATGTGATTCTACTTAGAAGTCGGTTTGTGTTATTGTTCAAATTCTCCAAATTTGTTCAGTAGTTTCAAGTCAACTTAGCTTCACGTTAACAGGCTGACTAAAAATATTTATGACTATACCATATTGTATAATCTTGCTCATCCATGATATTAATTCAAATTCAAAGTCAGAAAGACTCGTTCAAGTATTGTAAACGGGTATTATGATCAATTGAAAGTTCCCTATGGCAATATTTGGTAAATAAACAATAGGTTTAAATGCTTTGCGTCGACCCAAGCGACCTCATTATGAAGATGGAAATTAAACTGTATGAAAGTGTTATTTTATACAAAATGGTAACTTAAAATGTGGCACTATTTCTCCAATTTCTGATAAGGTTTCTTATTTACGGTGTTATTGAACCAAATGCTTTACAGAATCATCTAAATTACAAGATCTGTTGAGCTTATGTTTGTTACTTCACGAAATCACTACACGAATATTGTCAGAATTTTTAGATACTGAATATTTCATCTGACATTAAAAATGTATTTTTCGTAACCATTTTGGTTTTAGTGATGGAAATTTGAAAAATAACATCTTCAGAAATATGTATTTGAATAAATATGCATCGAGAGATTTCACACTTCCCCCTAGTCCCTCTAAAGCGTTTAGCTGTCGTCCGACTTGGTCTGTTTGGATCGCTTGAGCTGTTGTAAATAATGCCGTTGAATTGGCTTGTGTAGCGCGAGCTGGGCGAGGGCGTCGTCGATTGAGAACCATTGTCGTTTGCGCCCCATTAGACGGGAGTCCTCCCACTCCGCCAACTCCTGTGTTACGGTCATCACGTATACTTCAGTCCTGTGCTTGTGTTCGCGGTTCTGAAATTTTTAATAATCTCATAAGTCCACAACAAAAAGAGGATATCGTAGTACATATATATACGTTTCTACCGAAATTAACCTGAGACTATAGTTGTTAGTACATGCCCATTTCATCTTTGAAGAGTTGTTGAAACTTATCATTGTTTATGATGAAAGAGGTACCCTCCCCTTCAGCAGAAATAATTATTTTACTAAATAGAATGAAAATCAAAGTAAAATATAACTGTATCTGGCTGATTGCTATATATAAGTTTCCCGCGCGCCTTTATATACGAAAATAATGTATGCAAATGTAATGCAATTTTTGTATGTAAGTAAACTTACGAAACTAATACACCTTATTATACAAAAGAAAATATTGTCGTTATTAAGATTCGTATTATAATTATTATAAGCGCGATTAGGATAATAATTTGAAAAAAATTTACGCGATAGAATTACTTTTATCTAATACTGATTTAGATTTATGGCTATCGAAGCCTAGCAACAAAGTATTATTATTTACGATCTTTTTGAATGTTTGCAGCCCGTTAACGAAGTGGATAATAATAATGTGAATTATGAACATAAATACGAGTACCGAAATCAGCTTTTATTGGTATTTCCATAGTTTATTATTTTTCTTTATCGGGAAAACAAGGTCAAAACCTCTGTCGACTCACTCTTCTTTATAGGAATAGTATATAAAGAAAATGATAAATGAAATGGACGCAGAACTGCTCTGTTCATTTATGAGTTACAGAGATGCAGTTCATATTGCAACATTTTAAAAAGATATCTCAAATTATCAATCAATAACGGTCACGAAATGTATAATACACGGCTGCATCTTCGATATAATTAAGTCCACCAGTAATTACTTAATTACAATACCACACGATTCTTACAAAAATTAAACGTAGCTCAGATTTTAATGAATAATGTAATTTACATTTAATTATCTACAAAAGGTGTAATCAAAATCCAATGATTGTACCAATAAAACCTAATTCGACGTATCGTTAATCAACCTGTTTTAATGTGAGACAATAAGACACATTAATAAATGTTTTTTCAAAGATAAACATTTACAATAATTTCAAACAAAAGATGATAAAGAAAAAAGGATGGAAGTAGTTTGATCAAATGAAGATACGGATTCAATAGTCGGTGTACCTACATAATCAAATCGCGGTTACTAGCCGACTAAAAAGCGTCCAATCAAAACCCTTTAATATTCACCGCATAGTTAATAATCTTGTAAGGAATTGTTACTAAGTTGTGTTTTTTTTAAGCCAATGGCAATAGAATTTAAGAAACTGTTACGTCTTGCTCAGATAATTATATAACTTCTGTTCTAAAACGTATAACAGCAGTGGTGTCTTAGACACACTCAAAAGTCAAAATATATGTCAGACACAAAAACGTGTCTTATCCATGCCCCATTGAATGGGAATTTATACACCAAAATCTGCTCTTCAATGTACTCAAATTGGGTGCAAAATGATTTGCTTTTCCTGTGAATTCATAAAAGCGGATAATGCTCGCTAGCTCAAAATAACTCTACGAAACATTCAATATAATTCGCCGATAGTGACGCGAACGAATTGGCGTCAACAATGATTTATCGTTTCGCGCTAAAATAACTGAAAGGGAATATTTACATTGTTGTTAACTGATTCTCAGGAGCATGGAAACAATAATATGGTAGTTGAATGCTTCTTTTTTATAGGTGAACATAAACAGCCGTTCTACAAAACATGAACATGAGATTATTAATATTAGCCTTTTTTATTTTAACGAAAAAAGGAAGGTCAAGCCAATACATTGTAGCATTCTTTTCAAGATTCTACTCTAGGGCAGACAATAGGAACAGTGAAGAGCCCATTTTATACCCATCGTGCAAACTTGCAGAATTATACAATATTGAACTATAATAAAACTTTACAAAAATATATATGTAAATTGTAAAAGCATATAAACAGTATCCAACCTTGGAGGAAATAACTCAATACACAATATAATATTAATTTAAAAAACACAAGCCTTAAACATCATGAGTCATTATAATAATATTAAAAGTAGAATGAGAGCATTGACCTCAAATTACCAACACATTAACAAGCAGTTAAGGTTTTTGATATTTGATTGCAATTCTAAACAGGAAAAAAATTACATCTAAAATGAATTCATAGCTTGGCAATGATCATAAGAGATGTTACATAGTGCTTGACCGCTAAGTCACAAAGAGCAGGGGAACATTGATATTTTATGTGTAAGCAATTTTATGTATAAGCTTCAAATAATATAATCAATGGCTAGAAGATTTCTATTTTCTTGCTTTTGACCATCATGGATGTCAAGAGATGTGCAATGAATCTTTGGATTTTTGGTAATAAAAATATACCTTGTTTTGGAACACTATATTACAGAAACTATCTTTGTAGATAATTATTTAATAAACATGATGCTACTAGAAGTTTATAACATTATCAGCATAATTTGACATTTTGTGTGCTTTACATTAGGTACATATTATTACTATCAGATAAATGTTGTAATATTTTTTAAAGAATTTTTTAAATTATGGAAAATATGTAAATAAAATATATTTTCATGTTACAATCTAAGTCTAGATTGTTACAGACTTTAAGCAAGTGAAGGTTATCAATTTTGTATATGAATTATGTCATCAACAAAAACTGCTATCAACTGGCCATTTGCTGTAGCCATATGGAACTGAACAACTTTCAGTGATTTTCACTATAAACTATATTTAGACATTGAACTACAAACTTTGAAATAATTTCAAATCTAAAGAGGTTATCACTAAGAGACAAGGCAATGACATTTAAAGATTTTTACTAATACAAAATGACATACAATATAGTTATAAAGTTCACAAGCACAGATGTACTTTACATTTGTACTTACAGAAGTATGAATTGACTAAGTACTATATATAATAGAGTTAAACAAACATAAGGAACTTTATGTATGTTATATATGTTTTATAAATTAACATTTTAAACTCACTTCGAAAACACCAAGACAACGGCCAAGCTTTCCAATAACGCCAGCTTCCTCTAGAACCTCCCGCATCGCCGTCACAGAGGGTTCTTCCTCCGGCTCAACCCCGCCGCCGGGCACAATCCAGTTGTCAGGCCGGCGCGACGATGTCACTAACAACACCTACGCACAATACACCTCACACCTTAATACAACGACATTCCACAATTTCATGTTAAAAATAGATAAAAACTACATTAACCTCCGTTTCGGCGTCAGACCGTACGCATATGCAAGCAGCGCGCCGTCTGAATCCCTCGTCGTCGTAGATCCGTATTGAATTAGGCTTTTCTTTCACCATTTCGGGTATACACGAAAACACGAACAAAATAAACGATCACTAACGAAAATCGGACATCAAATAGAAGGAAATTATAAACCGAACGAAATTTTTAATGATCAACAAACGCCATAACCGAGGTCTAAGATATACGTATCCATTTTAGACTAATTTAAGAGTTACACAATGTACATATAAAACAAAACTATAACAATAACACTACAATTAGAGCAATATTTCAGCTATAACTAGCTTTTGATCGCGTATTTCAAGCCCATGTTGTATGGTGCCTGACGTTTTTTCTCTTGGAAAATCGAAATAAGTGCCTTGGTTTTGGTTTTGGAAAGCGAAAATTGCGTGACTGTCAGCTGACAGCCGGAAACTGTAGTACGTAGACAGCAGCTGTCAGCCATAGATAACAAAACATAAGCCCTAATAGGTTGACTTGAGACACTATCACTTTTCGACAGTCGTGACCCTCTTAACGCTAAACCAAATTAAATTAAGATTACTACATTTTTCAGGTTATCTATTTAACGTTATGAACGTTTATAAAAACATTAATAAATTTATAAAGCGCAGTGACTGTCACAATTAAAACACAAGAAATAGGAATAGACTTGATTTTCCAGCTTTCAGACTTCATAAAACTGCTCACTTATTTATGGGGAAATGTATACAGATATTTAATAAGATTCCGGACCGTGTAACTAAACTTCCGATACATATAACATAAGTTTAAGATTTGCATCAAGAAAACCCTAACAAAGGGAGGATAATATTACACAGTTCGGGAATTCATAGACGATGACAATGTGTGGGCACTAATGCCGCTGTACAAATTGAACCTAAATGATTAAATTACTTTTTGTTTTTGTTGTTTTATCAGCTGCCCTGAATTGTATTTTATGAAATTATTGTAGGTAGTGAAACTTCTTTGTCGGCGTTGTAAAAAATTTTACGTCACGTGACGTCGTCACATTTTTCCGTTACGCGCCATCTTTTTCTTGGTTCGGTTTCGGAACCAGTTTATTGATTAGTTGCAAGATTTGTTGTTTGTGAAGTTTGCCTACCTCTGAAAACTAACATCAGGCTTACCGCAACGTACTGTTATTTATATTGGATAATTTTTTTCACGTTATATTTAATTAATATTGCAGTATTATGTTTAGTTATAAATAGAAATTATACTTTTAAATCATTATTATTTATGTCAAAAACCGTGTAGTGCGTTCATAAAATGTATAAAATTTATATTATAAACAAAAATATATAATAACGATAACAATGATAGTAATAATTATATTACAATTAATGAAATTCTGTAATAATCTTAGTAGTAATAAGGTAGAATGAAATAATTGTATTGTAATCATTTGTATTCTATTTATTTATTCTACTCTATCTATGTCTATGATAATAAAAGCCTTTTTTTAAACTTTATCTAAGTTAACTTTATTTAACCAATTTCTGTAAAGTTGCATATAGTAGATCATTTTTCGAAAAATAAGGTCCTATAGAAGTTTCACTTCGTACGTGTGTGCACTAGTACACGCATACATTTTTATTATTTTTACGATTCAGTCTATACATAGTATAAATGTGTGCATGTAAGTGTTCATTTATAATTCGTAATATTTAATGGTACAAAGATATATAAGATTACTAGCTGCCCCGGCGAACTTCGTACCGCCTAACATAAAATCTATGAATGTCGTGTTACTTTTTAGCTGAACTAATTAAGGCTTTGATGAACGTAAAACAATGAAACAAAATAATATATTTATATAGATAGAAACATAAAAGTATTTTATTATGATGAATGATGATGAAAACATACATACAGAATGAGAATAAAAATAAAAAAAAATAAAAATAATAATTAAGTACTTCAAACTCATGTCAGAAAAAAATGATTGAAAACTATGTTGTGCAGATTGGGGAAAAAAAAAATTCGGATTAATTCATTAATAGGCCTTTCATTCAAGCACTTTGTGGTAAACGACATTCTTTGTTTTTTGGTCAGACGCAAGAACAAATAAAGCGGATGGTTTGCCGACACGTGAGCATGCCACGTACAATTGACCATGAGAAAAACATGCATTTTCTAGATTGAGGCCACAAATAGTCAAGGATTGGCCCTGTGATTTGTTGATCGTCATGGCGAAGGCAAGACGAATCGGGAATTGAATTCGTTTAAACTCAAAGGGCATATCCGTTGGGATCATCGGAATCCTTGGAATAAGAACTTCCTCATCTTTAAATTTTCCTTTAAGTATCGACGCGTGAATCACATTGCTCATCAGTTTTCTTGTCACCAAACGCGTTCCATTACACAGTTTTGGTTGGTTTAAACTTCTAAGCATGATGACTACCGAGCCAACTTTAAGTTTTAAATTGTGCGGTGGTAAACCAGGCACATCCAAGGAGTTTAAAAATTCAGTTGGATAATTAGTGGCTTCTTCTTCATTTGTTACACAGTCGATAGATTTGAATGAATACAGAGTACCTACGATTTGATTTTGAATTATAAAATTGAGGTCATCTACATCTTTTTTTTTTAGAGGCCAAAATTGCTCGCTCACTTAACCATTTAGTATTTTTGTGGTTAGCAATGATATCCGGGAATACTTTGTTGATAAGCTCGTCTTTTGATGATACAAAATTGCAAAAATTTGGAGGAAATGAAATCAAACCGCTCGATTCGTCAACAGGAACACGGCCATTACCGATAGTCAGCAATTGCTTCGAGAAATCATCAGCAGATAGATCGTTCAACAATGCAACTCTCATATTTACAGACAGTTGAAGTTTCTTTACATATCGCCACAGATTTGATGCTTTGAGGCAAGCGTTTATTTCGTCGGCAGCAGTAGATCTTGGAATGACTGGTAGTGTTTGTCGGAAATCGCCAGATAATAAAATCATTGCACCACCAAAACATCTCGAGTCATTACGCAGATCTTTTAATGTTCGGTCTAGTGCTTCCAATGCGCGTTTGTGCGCCATTGTGCATTCGTCCCATATGATGATTTTTGATGCTACTAAAACTTTGGCCATTGCGGAGTGTTTCGAAATGTTACATGTCGGTTCAAACTCAAACTCAAAATATCTTTATTCAAGTGGGTAACCAAGTACACTTTTGAATCGTCAAGTTAAATTAATCGTAAATTTACATTTACTACCAGTTCGCAAGTCAAGGGCGTAGAGCGGGTAAGAAGAACTGGCAAGAAACTTTCCGCCACTCTTTTTAATCGCCAAGTATTGTCATACAAATTGTTTGAACTGGAGCAATTCAATCCCAAGGATTAGGATCATTTAAGTAGTCCTCAAATTTATAAAAAGCTTTGTTGATTAATTTTCGTTTAACGAGGGCTTTGAATTTATTTATTGATAATACTCTAATTTCGCTTGGGAGTTTGTTGTAAAAACGAATACAATTTCCATATAAGGACTGGTTTATCTTTTGGAGCCTGGTTGGTCTTACACTCAAATTAGTTCTATTTCGCGTATTATACTGGTGAAAGTCACCATTTGTTTTAAAATCGTTTATATTTTTTTGGACATACAACAAGGCTTCAAGAATATATTGACCAGATAGTGTCATAATATTTAATTCCTTAAACTTATTCCGTACCGACTCCCTCGGAGAAACACAACAAATACCCCGAACAGCCCGCTTCTGCAGCACAAATATGGATTGAACCTCTGCAGCAGCACCCCACAGTAGAATACCGTACGACATAACGCTGTGAAAGTAGCTATGATAAACAATTTTTGCCGTGTCCTTATCAGTAAACTGTCGGATTTTCTTTACTGCATATGCTGCAGAGCTCAGCCTATTCGAAAGAGTATCCATGTGTGGGCCCCATTGGAGTTTACTATCTATTGTTATGCCTAGAAAAACAGTTACACCTAGTTCAGTTATGCCTAGGTTCAGTAGTTTGAAGGTTTAATGGCAATTTTAACGCTGAGTGAGCCGTACGGCATCCGTCTAACAATGTGGCCGCTATTCCAGAAGAAGCAATTGCTACCGCAATTTCGGATCTCGCACGTACAGTGGCCAAAATCAATGACATGAACATGACAATGACATGAAATGTCTTCACAGTTCCACCGGGGGCATCAAAAAAAAATAAGCCGCCATTTCCATCATCAATTGCATTAATCAGTGTATCATAGACTTCCCTCTACTTAGGATTCAACAGAGGTACATTCGTTTGAACTGATTGGATTAGTTCATGTGGATCATATTCACGTTCACGTTCCAATTCTCTATTAAATGCGTCATTAATTCCGCGATCTGACGCTGGCATTCCTAACCTAACTAACAAACTGCCGCACATGAGGTAACACATATCTTCGATCAAGAGTCAGTATCTCCTCATTCACCTCAAGATCGGAATTTCTCGAGCTGACGCGAATTCGATGTAAAATATCTTCTGACATGTTATCTTTGTATTTGTTGCACAGGTCACGTGGGTTCGATGGGAAGTATGTTGAAATGATGATAGCAAATAATGTGCGTATCTGACTTGGAGATGCAGAAATAATTGCTTCAGCGATTGTCGTGTCCCAATGAGTATCGTTTTCAAGCAAATTTAGCTCTTGACATGCTGCACGAAATGTGGGGCACACGATACCTTTAATAGTTCGTAGTGATTCAAATGATGTTGGCCCTCGAACATGTACCATCATTCTTCGGATGAACTGTGTAAATACGACCAAGAGCATCAGTAGAACGCATATCTGGATGACCAGGAACGGCATGGCCTTGCTTCCGACGTTGAAATTTCTTCGATGTAGCGTTCCAAGTGTAATAACGTGGCATTTCTGAGTAAAGCAAAGTTCGTGCGAACGGATCGCTTTGACAAATCGCAAAGAAACTGGTCAGTGTTGTCGCTGGAGGTGTTTCGCGATATTCCGTTGCCTAATTGCATTACGGCTTCGCTGGGAAAGATTAGATCTTCTAGGACGTGGCATTGTTATTAAAATGTGCACTCGCATAAAACCACCAAATATAATAACAGTGCCTGAACTTTCGAGACATAGACAATAGCTCAAAGAGTATATAACCACTACGTATGAATAGCTTATCAAGAAAAATCATAGACAACCTATAAAAAGACATTTACACTTTTGTTAACCTGTAGATTTTTTTTCCTTAATCTTATAACCTTTACCAACTGATTTTTGATTCCCTAAATTCCGTTCCTTTCCGATGATTTTATGTTTTTACTGTAGAATAAATCTTAGGTATTATTTTCGGGAATTAAAAATTAAATAATTAATAAATAATTTTCGAAAATTAATGTCTAAAACAAACAAATATAACAGTATCTGAACTTTGTAGACATTTTACAAAAAATAAATTTCTGAACGCACGCATGATGTCTTCAGAAAAAAATAAAGTTGTGGCTTAAAGGTCTCAGCAACCAGACCATAAGCTCCAAAAAAAAATAGTTGTTACACTATTTGACAGGATTGGACAACAAATGTTTGACATGTAATAAACAAATCAGCATATATTAAAATGATTAAGTATTCATTACACGTATCGAGTTTTCATTGTTTTTAAGATGTATTCTGCTATTTGGGACGGAAACAAATCCAACAAATCAAAATCCATGGCAATCGGTCCAGCCGTTCTCAAGTTATAAGTGTTGTAACAAACACGACTTTCTTTTATATTTAAAGATTACATATTAATACACAAACCGCATATATACACAAACGTGACGACGAAAAGCTTTTTATGCAGTCTATAGGCTATAGCGTACTAGTCTATTAGTTATTCCAATGACATTGACAGTATGAAGATGCTGGCCAGTGACGGTTATTTATTTGAAATTTGAATTTGTGTTGTTTGTTAATTGTGTGCCTCGCAGTTCTAGACGTAAAAATGTCTTGTGCTTGAAACATATTATTTTGTAATATTCACCTTTTTTTCAGGTTTCAATATGGGTTCGTTTTTAACATTTAATTATGCCTGTCGAAACGACTATTATTATATTTGCAAAAAACTAAAATTCGTTAATAAATCTATTTCAGAGAACGGATTCGATTTAAACGCGTTGTTGACGAATTATGAACATCTCCATAAAGTCAAACCACAACAATTTACTAGTGTATCCAAAGGCGTAAGTGGGACTCTAGTCTTATTATATACAACAATATAACTAGATTTTTGCATGCTTAATACATTTCACTATTTACTTTATTGTACACATTCCTTTATCGATTAATGAATATTGATATGATATTAAAAATTGTATTTGTTTTAAGGTTAAAAAACGTCTTGAGACCACCATAAAGCGCAGACATAGCTGTCGACTTACTATTTTTGATAGACTCAGAAATTTACCTCAAATTAGTCCAGTACCAAAAATAACTAAAGAAGAGAAACTTAAACAAAAAACTGAAGAGAGAAAGTTGAAACTGGAGAAATGGAAACAAGAAAAAGAAAATAAGAAAAAGCATGCTGCTGCTATTAAAAAAAAGCCATTTGTTGTAGGTGCTGTAAGGCCTCCACCTAAGTTGGAGCAGTTACCAACAATAATGCCTAGCACATCAGGTAGAGTTACAAGATCACAAGTAAAGAAATCAACTATAACAAAGAAATCATTTGCACCTGAGAATGCGACTTTTTGCCCTCCTGTAATTAAAGGAATGGAAGAAATTCCTGTCTTAATTTTGCCATCTTCCCGTAAAGGAAAATTAACAATGGTTAGTTTCCAACCAGTTATATCAGAAATCAAATCAAATAATATTTCATTTGTTAAATCAAACAAAGTCAAGGAGGTTGTTAGCAAAGAACATAAAAATATAGACTTAGTTGATACTGTAGAAAACAAAAAAAAAAATAAAGTTGCAGAGAAAAATAGGATAAAGAAGAATCAAAAAACAATAACAGTTGAGACTTTACATTCTGATGAAAGCACATCTGATAAACCTCCAACCAGAATTGTCAACAACTTAAAAAAAAATAAAACCATTATTAAACATACTTCTATCAAGAACTCTGTGTCTTTAAATGAAAAACACTTTAAAGATGAACCTAAATATTGTAGAGTTAAAGAAAATAAACAAAAGTCTGATAAGCTCCAAAAAAAGGAGATACTATCTGATCAAAGTAACCCTAAAGAAATTACAGAAAATATTAAAGTTTCTCACAAAAAGGAAAATGGAAAGAGAGGAAAGCTGAGTGCTATCACGATCTCTAGTTCTGAAGATAGTTCACCCATTGATAAAAGAAACACAAGAAAATCTGTACAAAGAAAGAAGAACAACAAAACAAAGGAATTGGATTTAATAGAAATTAAGGATGTACCTATACCTTATATTTACTTAGATAGCACACACTCTTCACTCAATGAGTCACCAATAGTTAGGGCTAGAAAATCTAAATCATTGCCTACTACTGATACGGGGTCAATGAGAACCCCAGTGAAACCTATACCATATAGCGAATCTAGTTCTGAGGAGAGGTTGCGGTCTCCTCCAGAAATTCTACTGACACCAGAACAGATTACAGAGATAGCAAACAGTCCTTGCATCACAACTTCCCGAGGGAAAGATAATGCTAGGCGGGAAATGCAAAAGAAACTTAAAGAAGGTAATATTTATTTTACATAACAATCATGTCATGGAATTCAAAATGAAAAACAAATTTTTGTTCTTATTTTTTAACTTATCAATATACAGTAAGAAACAGTAAAGTAGATGTCTGAACTCTCTTTGGTCCATATTCTAGTATTTCAAGTCACAATCTTGACTTGAGAATCCGGGTCTTAGACCAGCACAGCTACCATTCATTGTCTTCTTGATCATTTTTCAACATGGATTTCCACTACATTTTTTGTTTTATTAATATTGTAACCTTATCGTGAGATCTCATATAGCCCGACACCATTTCATTTGCCATGATTTGGCTCACAGTGCCTTTTGACATCCTACATAGAAACTCCAGCATACTTGAATTAGTTTTAAAGTATTTCTTTGAGCATCTTCTACAAATGCTTAATGATATATTATTCAGGTCATCTCGCTGATCATATTGAATCTATGGATACCGTTAACCATTTCCACCGTCAGTTGAATATGGAAACAAATCGGCTGACGGAGATGGCCGACCTCTGGGAAAATATTTTGGAACAGAATACGCTGCCTGATTTTGTTCAGGTACATTTTACATATTTTTTTCTATTTATTTATTATAATATTGACTTCTAAAAGCGGCTGCAGATTATAATTTTAATTGCAAGAATGTTGTTTTTGACTACTGAAATCTTAGCGGGAACTTCTTTAAACTTCTGTGTAGTTTTTATGTCACAATCGCAACCGCACCGTTTATGATTCTTTATTGTTGAACTATATGAAACTCCCAAAAAAATCACATTTTATAATCATTGCAAAATTTTATTAAAACTCTGAACAACTTGGAATTCTGCAACAACAACATTAAAACATTTAGATAAATCGAATCTTCTGCCCTAATTAACATTATGCACTAATTATTTAATGCATTTAATATATTACGTCAGGAGGCAATACTCACAGCGGTAGGACAGGCCCGACTACTGATGTCCCAGAAGTTCCAGCAGTTTGCTGGTCTGGTGGATAGCTGTGACGCTGCAGATCCGTCCCAACCGCTGGTGACTCCGCTTGATCTGCAGGGCTTTTGGGATATGGTGTATATGCAAGTGAGTGAGGACAGACATACTTACATATAAAATAAGATAATCCGCGTTCGTCGATTGTATTGATTCGTCGGAATTATTGGAATCCTTTTGGCGCACATCGCCTAATCTTAGCTTACTTCGAGAAAACACAATTCACCTGACTGCCTCATCATTGTAAGGGCCATTTGAGTTATCTGGGTGGGTATTACAATGGAACTGAATAAGTGGGGTATCCGATATCTGTTATAGAATAGAGAGTGCATCTATGCCTCTGCACAGACGGTGCCCTATAGGGTGAGGAGGTAGCCTGCCAGCATCTGTGACCGAAATTGTTGACCTATATTTCATTAAACTCTGAAATACTTTAAATGTAAAGAATCCTCCGGTTGTCTTAATTGTTAGATGAGATACGGTTTCTGCTAGTTTGGAATGAATCGTTCCAGGTGGAAAACCTAGACGTTCGTTTCGCGAAGTTAAGGGAGATGCAGGCTCGAGGTTGGGCGCCGGAGGAGAGGCCTCGAGAGAAGAGGCGCAAAGCACCTCCACCGAAAGCAGCCAAACCTGCCACCACCAGCCGCATTAAGGATATGATTGCTGGTACCGCTTCTTTTTTATGTGTAATAGCGATATTCCTGAAATCGGTTCATTGTTTTCAGATATCATTAAAATATTATGATTAATTGGTTAGTGAGTGTAATTTTACTTCTTCCAGAAGTGTTGGCCTGTGCCTCACACTTGATAAAATACTTAATGATTTATGGAACAATCATATTGACTGCCCCATTTGTCTTTAAATATTAAATTCAATAAGAGCTAGCTTGCTCCAAAGTATGCTCAAAATAATATCCATACTTTCACGTATTTTAAATGTATATAGCAAGGAGGATAATAATTATTTATTGAACGAGCGTCTAACAAATTATTACTATTCATTAGTCACATAATGCCTGTTGTAACATCGATGCAATATTTTTTTAAATTTCTCACAAAGTGAATGTAATTCTTTGAGAAATAAAGGATCTTTGAACCGAAGGAGTACGCGAGCCTTAACATATTCCATATTATCTCCAAACGCGTCTTTCAGAAGAAAAGCAAATCGCATTAGATCACACTGAAACCCACACACACACACACCACACTTTCTCACACACACTTCAACCAATATACTATCAGTAAATTAACGACAATTTATTGGTTGGGACCAAGAGGTTAGCTTATATATTTTTCGTTTAATACATTTTAGCTATATTTTTAATAAAACATTCTTTGGCATTATTAATATTCAATTTAAATCACTTTTGATTATAATTCAGACGCACATATAAAATTCGCACTTGTATAATGAAAACACATGTTTTAAATGTAGAAACTCAAAGCGTGTGGATAAATATTATAAATACACAGTGAACAGAGGCGGCGTGCGTGCCAACATGCGCCACTAACTTCATTCTGTTAATTTTGTGTCACGATGTGCGCGCATCGTAAAATTTCACTCTCATAAATTTTTCATAACGCGCCTAAAGAAGTATAACTTCAAAAATTGTGGATTATCAATAGTGTTAAATAAAAAAGAAAGTAATCTCAGGCCGAGAACCATAATGGGTTAGAACGCTTCTAGATTATTTTAAAAGTGTTCGGCAATACATATGGCTAATGGTCCATACAAATAACAGGATAATTGTAATGTAACGAATACAACTATTACGTTTGAATGAATGGCTTGCAGCCGCTCGTAAGGCCAAAAAGGAGCAAGCAGCTCCAGAGAGTAGCAAGACCTTCGAGGCGGGTTTCTTCAGCGTGCAGTCCCCCATCCGAAGTCCGGCCCCGGCCACTCCGAACAAACCCACCACTCTGTTGAAAGCCGTACTCTCCAGCGAGGCGAAGAAGGCGTCTGCTTCTAAGGTAATAATACTATTAATATAATTATACATTTAAATGAAACTTTTACATATTACATAATATAACATTTATAATTTGATGTTTTTCAGAAATTGTGTTGATTCAGATAAGGCAGTTGATGATCATTTTAGTCATTATTATTTGATGAAATGATATATTTTATTCCAGAATGCCGCTTCTTATGCGATGCTGCGAGCGTCAATGATTGGAAAGAACATTGAACCGGAACATGATTCCAGTAGTTTGGTAAGATTTTATTTTGATGGAGTCTTTTATGGGCCCATGTTTTTAATCATTTAATTAAAGTTACAAACGGGTCCCCTCTGTGAATATTGAAGTTCCCACTTTATATACACAATAATTTTTTAACCACAAAAGATTTAGCAAAAATTATTTTCTATTCTTTAACTATTCAGTCAAGATTTGTTATTAAGAGTGTTTTTTTTTGTCAAAATCACATCATATAGTAATGTTCTGATTGTAATATAATAAATGGAAATACATAAACGTTCTTTTTTTTCAGAATTTAATACAATTCACACCCATTAACCTAAAAGCGACACCCGGGCGCAGCATTCTCAAGTCTGGTGCCAAAAACTCCCGAAAATCCCTTAAAATGGTCCTCTTCGACAGTTCCGATACCAACCCTCTAGATTCTTCTCTCGATAAAGACATCAGCGGCGTCAAAAGACTCGAAAGTGAAGACTCACCGAGTTCAGAACCGGAAAACTCTCAAGAAATGGAAAATCAAGAAAAAAAAACGACCACAGACAACGAAGATGTAAAAGAAGATACGGAAGAGTCTGTGGGAAAGGAGAACATTGACGAGTCTATGAAAAAGGAAAATGACGAATCAGAGGATACTGAAACTAAAAAGACCAAAATAGGGCGGGGTCATAGACTCTTACGACAGGATGCCGAATTCAGCCCAATGAAGACCCGAAGTGGAAGAAAATCTGATAGTAACAGGAAGGAAGTACTTCAAGATGCAAACGTGAACACACCGAGACGGTCCTTAAGGAGAAAATCTATGATGGCTAATAAGTAATCCTGAAACATCTTTGGAACATCTCCAAATCCCTCTTTTCTCCTCTTTTGTTGGATAATACGAGACATTACCAATGCATTTTAAAAAACTTGTTCCTTTAATTAATTATTATGACCAAAAATCTATGGACATTAGAAAAAGATATTTGTAAGTCAGAATAGATATTAATAATGTTTGATTATAATTTGGTTTTACTGATGAATAGTGAAACTCCATTCCATTCGTTACACGCAAACTACTGATTATTTTTAGGTATTTTTATTAAGCTTTGAACAACATAACATCTAGTATAATTAACATACAAATCTTCGAATCTTTCTTTGGTTTTACATGCCATCTTCTTTCTTCTCATATTTATTAATTACGATATTTCTGATACATACTCTAAAATTTATAAAACATTTGTATTTTTATAAGGAATAAACTCAATGGCTACTGGACTGATTATAAAGTTATATTACAATTAGAAGTAGCATAGTCTATATTATCCAAAATATATTAATATTCTGGAAATAAATATGGCCAGCCGCGGGTAGCGGCCAGCGTATTGTATAAATGCTGGAATGATGTAATCATTGGTTTAAAATATGTAAAAAAAGGTTTTCTATTGTTCTTTCAAATTAAGATTATTTTGCTTGGAAGCTATTTTTTTTCAAAAGTATTGACTGTTATACGTTTGTTTGTTTTATAGTCTTTAGTCATCGAGATGATTGTAATAGAAATTGTACTAGCTTTAATATTTTTATTGGATTAGTACCTAATATGTAATATGTAGTGGATTTGTCACGGATTAATGTTTTTAAATAAATAAATACAATTATATAATGTTGGCTTTTTGTTCATAATATTATATCAAATCGCAAGTGTTAATCTGCCTTATATTAATCGTCTCGTGGGCATCTCTATGAACTAAAAATCAAACGTCCACGCTGAATTCCGTTTATCGGCGAAAAAACATTTAAATACTGTTTAAAAAGTTGATAGGCACTAAAGCGGGCCATAGACGGACCGCATGTTGCAGTCGAGACCGACTGCTGTAGAGCGGTCGCGTTGAAGTCGTACACGACTGCAAAACGACCGCATAATGCAGTCGACTACGACTGCGTGGAGCAGTTGTGTTCGACCGCAAAATAATACTGATGCGAGTTCATTTACAAGATGAATTTCGATGAAGAAACACTACTTCTTGTACTACTATTACGCAAGCGTAGGCGCAGAGGCGTATGTGGGTGCGTCCAATACTACAAACAAGAAAACAGCATGGAATATTTTATACTTTGTATCCCCAGCTGAGAGAAGACACTAAAATGTTTTTCAACTACTTTAGAATGTCCATGGTTTCATTTGATGAATTAAAATTTTATTTTATTTGAGGGAGCGGCACGCGGTCGGCATCAACCGCTTGTAGCGGTCCGTGTATGGTGGGTCCGGCAGCTCTAAGCAGTCGACCGCACGGCGGAACTCGACCGCAGAGCGATTGCTCCGACCGCTCAGAATCTGGTCGTGCGGTCCGTGTATGGCGGATATCAATTTAGTATGGAAACTGCAGTTCGCCGTGCGGCAACCGCTTAGAGCAGTCGGTATCGACTGCAACATGCGGTCCGTCTATGGCCACACTTAGGGAGCGCGTGAAATATGACGCGCCGTAACGTTTTTCTGTACCCAATAGTAAAACGTTTCGTTACCACCCAGTGACTATACCTAAAAGTTAGCATTATGTGGTGTAAAGTACCGGAGAGTCGAAAATAATATTAACAATAACGCGTAATTCAATCCCCGCCCCGCATCGTAACGTTTTACCCCAAAATCCCAAAATTTGTTACATAATACTTGAACGCTCCCTCCCTTAGTACGAGATTTGAAAAAAATAATAATATCAAAACACCTAGCAAATAAGCTTCATTTGAATTTACATTTGGGCTACATAAATTTGTATGGGAACGGCGCTCGAGCCAATTTGTATGACAGCAGATAAGACACCCTGGCCAGCACTGCTGCCCTATTTAGCTCTTTGCCAAATGGTATTGCGATTGGACATCAAGGAGGAGTAATCGAGCGGCAGATATGAACTAAAACGAGAATAGATCACTTGAACTAAATTAATGTATAGGTATTTAATTATTACGTTTAATACTGAGAGCTAGTAATATGTTATTTTATTTTAGTGTTTCGGTATTGGATATTTATAGCATTGGATTTTATATACCTATTTTAACAATTATATTGAGCATAAATTTTTATTACACAACGTTTGTAAGGAGCTGCAACCATTACACCATGTTCCACATGACATCATAAATAATTAATAAAAATAAATTAAAAACAAAGACTTGTCCTCTATCAGCAGAAGATATGGTGAAATAGGAGCACGCACTTACATCCTCGTGGGAACAATACGCAAATACATAGTAAAAATAACTAACATCATGTATGTCATGTATCGTATACCTTCAGATTATAACAGAAATTACCAGCAAATAGATATATTTAATGTATCTAAAAATGCTTAAGCAATTATATAAAAATTCTAGTATCCTTTATTAGATAGAATGGCTTTGTTATTCCTCATGAACTATGAATCTTAGAATTTAGAATTTATTATAAATACATATATTCTTTATATATTTTTTTGTATTTTTTGTATTTGTATAGGTGTAACTGTGCTTTGTGTGTGTTGAAATGTGTATTCCGTTTTTGGCTTGTGTATAGTGTAATTTGTTGAATATTGTATAGTACTCGTAAGTAGCTGTAGGAATACCGTTAAGCAAATAAATAAAATAAATAAATCACCGCATACACGAATTCAAGTACGACCAGTCACCACAAGTAGCACCCGTTCACGAGTTTGACGCATGGCCAGCCATCGGCCCCCTTGCCATATTTTAGGGAGAGAGACAACCCGACGCATGGACGCCGCCACAATGTTGACGAAGTAAATAGGTTATTCAGTCTTTTCTTTCATCGGTGTACATTGCCTACCTAACCTCACCCAAGTTTCGATTCTCTGTTGACTATTTATATGTTACACTAACATAGACGTTCGAATCTTTTTTCTTATAGAGGCAGGCCTTCTATGAAATAACGTCTATGACATGCCAGTGTTACTTATTCACTGTACTGTGTATAAGTGTTGAAAGAATAATCCATCGGCGCATAGCAGTATTTCGAACGAGCTACCTAAAGGTTGATAATAGTAGGCTTAACCACAACAACCAGTTGGATAAATTTCTTCATCCTTTATACGAGGTAAGTAGGTTAAATGCGCGGGTAAATTTTGTTTAATTTACGTCTAAGTGGAAGTAATAAAAGCAACAATTAAGAATTGTTGTCGACTCCCGACTCCGAACAATGACAATAATTACGATTGCGTTGTTAAACCCGAGATAACAGTAGGTCAGATTACGTAAATCTATGCAAATTTTACTTGAATCGGAGCCGAGAGCGTGTTCACTGGAATGGGGTAATTTGAGAAATTTTGGCAACCCTTAAATATATAGCGACACTTTTTAACAATTCTTACTTGGAATTGTAGATGCGAAGTAGAGTAATTTTTGTAGAAGTTCTATAATTCTTAAGACGTAGATATCTTAAGCGGCAAGGCTATTCCTAATTGATGGCGTTAGGACTTGACAGTGCAATTAGTCAACCCCCTTCCTGGCGGGAGTGCCAAGCCTTTGCTTTCGTGCTCAAGCTCGGCCAAATACAAGCAGTCGGCAAGCACGACCGGAGCAGTACCAGTATCACACAGAAAACCGGCGTGGGATGGAATATGTTCATCTTATTGTATTCTCGATATGTTCATCTTATTGTATTCTCGCCGCCTCGGGACGCTTGAAAGTTTGGACTTTTGTATCCTCTGGCTACGCGTAGACTGCGATGGCCAACCGCGATTCTACGCGTGCCTGTATAGGTCCAATAGCGGAAATGCCGCAACTGACCGAGTCGGTCGAGTGAGGAGATTCAAATGGCTAAAGGTTCCGTCCGCCGAAATCGTGATACTTGGCGATTTTAACGCCCACCATGCTGACTGGCTCGGCTTTTATACCACCGATCAAACGGGTAGATCTTTTCATATGAAGTTCTTCTGCAGGTCATGGATCTCTCTATCCCATTTTCTGCATTGCCGATAGGTAGTAAGACCTGGTTTAAACGTTCTTGCAAGGTGGCCTCGCGTCATGTGGTACAAAAATTATATTAAGTAACTATTTGATATACGAGCCTATAAGCTTACAAATAAAGGGAAAAATAATAAGCTCAGTCACATTTGCGCCGTGTTAGATATTATAAGGATCTACGAACTGTAGTGATACAGCCGCGACGCAGATTATCTGCTAGTAACGTAAACAATAACACAGCTACGATAGGGGAGATCGTGGTGACCATATTTTATTGATGAAACTTTCCAAAGCCACATTTTTCTCCCTATACGAACACTTTCAAATCACTATTAAATCGTAAATATTTCAATTCCTTGGTCGAAATGTCTATAAATGTTTATACATTTTTTTTCATCTATTTGTAATTTTTACATAGATATAAATTCTTAAAGTTGGTGTAATCATAAAAGGGTTCTCATTAACGTTGTGATATAACACTGCCTGGTGGATATTAAATGATGTCTTTGCTGCGACATAAGATATTTGCTCGATTTTCACATATGATAACAGCAAATATCGCAGCCACCCTAAACACTGCAAACAGAGTGAGTTTATTAAAAATTGGATTTAGCGTGGCACGCTCCTTTATATTATTATTTCATACGGCTCACGGGCGCCACACTGCTACGTAATATCTATTTGTTAGATGGGGGATTTATACTTACATATTGCATGAATTTTTCAATCAGGCGCTTATATTCTGTCTTGTGTTTCTAAAAGCCATGTAAATAATTAAATTGAGATATATAAGAGAAGGAAGTGTATACACTATATTTATTATACACGATATTATTTCTTATAATGAAAGTATTTAAAAATATGTATTGATATTAAAAAACAAAATCAATCATCACAAACACAAGTCGAGAACTCTCAATCTAGTTATAGTCAAATTTCCAAGAAAATTAGTTTTTGTCTTGAGAGCAAGAGCACTAAATCAGTTGTGTGTCGGATCAATTTGTAGCGCTTGGCGACCACCGCGATTGTATTTTATCCCGAAATGTTTATTATGGCAACATTTCTTAAATAAAGAAAATACAATTTGGCATTATATTAATAGACAAGAATCGACGTATAATTTAATGTAATTTAAGAATATAACGGCATAGTATATATTTATTTTGTAATGGATTTATTCACATAATAGCGGACTTTTATTTTTTATAATACTTTGGAAGTAGGTATATATTTATATGTTACTTAGGAATAACGTAGCATTCTAAGTTGTATTTGACTTTATTCGTTTCAAACATCTTAACCACTTTTCTCTTTATAAGATGTATGAAGGATTTTAACTTATAACAAACTGAACTGAAAATTATAACAAATTCCATCCAATCGAATATATAATTACATAAAAAAAACAATTACACACCACTTGAGGAAAAAAAATAAACTCCAACTTATAACACCGCGGACTAATTACGGAAAAACAACGATATTATTAGAAGGAGCACAGTTGTTCAACAATTTACCAGAGGAATTAAAACAGTGCGATAATATGAATGTCTTCAAAAGAAATCTAAAAGATTATTTGTAATCAGTGTAATGTTTCCAACGCTCTAGAGGCTACTAATATTATATAATTTAGAATTAAGTACCTATATATGTATATCTCATTGTAAGCGAACTAGTATTAAGTTCTTATGAGAAATAAAGTTCTTTAAACCTATTTTGTTATAAGAATAAAATCAGTAGCGTCCTATGACTCGGATAGAATAGTCTCCTGGTCAAGTATTAATCAGATATAGATTTTTATATGATACTTCTTTTAATACTTGCTTGCTTCCCTACAAATTTTTAGTCTTTTGTACTAGTCACTTCATTAGTATCTTATCTATTTCGAAATTTGCTAGACTGTTTCTTCGGACCGTGTTCAGTAATTATTCATTATCCTAACAATTTATTTCTGTCGTGGTTCATAGAACAGAGTTCATTACCCGATGCCTATATTAATTTAGTTTAATATATTATAATCGACGGGAACAATGAGATTTCATATCGGACTTTCCACGAACGGAAGAAATTTTATTAAAGGAAATAATGGAAGATAATGCACAATAAATGTATTGAATAGAATATTGATTTTTCTAAGTATGAAGAGGATGTTTTACTTTTAAACGTAGGTCCTTATCATGTTTTCCGTTGTAGGGATAACTCATTTACGGCTACTATATTATACTCTTTCTTTGACAAACATAATTTAGAATATCGTGTATGTGTGCGTTTCAAGACAAGATATAAGGAGAAATAACAGAAGAGGAACAATAAAAGGACCATCTCTTAATTTCTAACTAAACTAAATTAGTATAAGACACTATGTTTACTGTTTGGTTTTAAAGTCCTGCCATTGTACAACATACAATGTAAATATTTTTTTCGTTTGCGCTAATCTCTGAAACGCTAAACGGATTAAGCTGACGAAATAAAGTTATGAAAATGGAGATAAAGTGTTATATTTTAATAATAATTATCGTCAAACTTCTATCTATGTCAGACAAAGTCGCGGGGACACCTCGTAATAATAAATGTAGTCAGAAATTGAAAAGCGTAAAAGAGCTATAAACTGTCGAGCGTTGACTTTGATCGCATAAATACTGAATACGCCCCCGGAGCCCGGGGCTTCGAAATGTCACTTCCTACATTCTGATAGATCCTGTGAGGGGAGATTACGACTGTCTTGAATTACATAATATTGTTTGAAGATGTGCGAAATATAATATCTTATTAAATAATAATATTTATTTGCTATTCACAAATGTATATCGTCAGTTTACTCTCACAGCTTTAACCGATTTTGATGTGTGATTGCATCGTAAATTCACAACAAGACCGGACCACTAATTGTGAATTTACGATGGAAACATTGGCATATTATTATGTAGGTATATGCACAAAAGCAGCACAGTTGCATCAAAGTTTTGTGTACAAAGTCGATTTAGGTATTCTCTTAAAATATATGTTGTCATCGAGTTTCCGCGATTTTAACACTGACAATTTGACCAAATATATATTCAAAACCGCTGTGCAAGTTGTTTAGTGCATCGTTTAATTAGAAAATTATTGCTCTACGGTGAATGCAATTAAAGTAACGCAAACGCGTTAAAAAAATAACACTTCTTCCATATTCTATACACACAATTTAACTGAAAATGAAAAGCATGAGTCCTAAGCGAATTTATAGGCGTATAATAGGTTCGACCGCGATGCACTCAAGGCAAGACAATAGGTAATGCCGCAGGAGAGTGCTAGTGCTAATTTTGCTTCCTCATACCTACTGGCGTAACTTAAATAAACCAAACCATTGCATTGGTATGAATTGCAATTACGCTGGCTTTGTTTTTGTGTATAGTTTGTGGGATTTTATTATTATTGTGAAACTGGTTAGAGGGCACAGTTATGATAGAGGGGCAGCCTTAAGGCAGCCTTAGGGGCAAATGTCCCCGGGTGTTATTGTCCCCTTTCTTCTATTGGATTTATCCTTCTTTTTCGTTCCTCCCGAAATATTCGTCGTGGGCACTGTCATTGGTGGCAGCGCCGTCGTCGAGGCTGACTTAGAGGCTGTCCCCGCTGTCGCCTTCGGTTAACGCTTGTCTGTGAAGATATGAGAAGTATGCTAGGCTTCGGATTGAGACACGGTTAAATAATTTCCTTGAGAGGCGTCTCATCCACCAAGTCGAAGACTCCTGTGTCGACTCACTACAGGCTATTGGAGTGTTCATAGGCGGAGTTTTACGTTAGGTACCTACATGTATTGACTGCGTGTCATTTTACAGATGAATTTTTGAAATTGATTTAAGTGTTTGAATTATAATGTTCAGCATAAGTTTAGATTTTTTATGATGATATTATTTTTATTTATGTGCGTTGTAAAGTTTTGTTATTTTTCAATAATTTTTCTCTTACAAAGTCAAATCTAATCAAAATTTATGTATTTCTATCGGTTACTACAATTATGAACGTCAATATTTAAATATATCGCGAGTCTAAATACATTAGGACAAAGCAATATTGGCCTAGTGGCTTCAGCGTGCGACTCTCATTTCTAAGGTCGTGGGTTCTATCCCGCCGGCTACACCAATGGAAAGTCCATTCAGTCTATGTGCGCATATAACATATCTCGAACGGTGAAGGAGAACAGCGTGATAAAACCGGCCTCCTTAGACCCAAAAAGTTCACGGCGTGTGTCAGGCACAGGAGGCTGATCATCTACTAGACTACTTGCCTATTAGATTGACAAATGATCATGAAGCGGATAAAGAAATCTGAGGCCCAGACCTAAAAAGATTATAGCGCTAGTATACAGCTAATACTATTATAGGGACAACTACGGAAGACTAATTCATTTAATTCTTCATCGGATAACTAAAAATAAAACATTTCCTAAAAAGTGCTGTTTTATTTATGGTATCTAGTTATTTGAATGAGAACAATGCAGACGAGCCAATTAATTTCGAAAGCCCCTTTCTTATCTCAAAGGCTTAACACCGGGTTTATTTTACACTTCACTTTCGTTCATTTAGTATAATGGAGCTTTGTCTGCCTTAGCAAATAATTAACGACCAATATTATAAATTACCAGCCTTTGATTACTCCCCGGCAGCGTAATGTTTTTCGTGTTCCTTCGTTAAATAGAATTAATTTAAAGAAAATTACATAAGCCAAATTTTGTTACACCCTCACGTGGTACGTGCTCACACTTATCATCACACAACACAGCCGAAATAGGTAGGTATTACTTAGTTAAATGTATTTAATATATTGATTTATTCCTTTCTAAGTTTCGTAAATGTTGGAACCTTTTTGTAATACAGTCAACATCTGTTATAACGACATCAAAGGGACTACTCATATTTGGGCGTAAAACCCGATAGTCGTAACAGCCGATGACTTTGTTATTAATTAAGTACCTAATACAATATAATTCAGCCGGGATCTTTGATTTTGGTCAATATAACTGGTAAGTTGTTCTA